GACTTGTTTGGGGGTGCCCCTCCGCTGTGCCTCTCTTCCACCCCAGAACAGGCATCTCGCCCATGTGTCCTCTCTGCCCTGCTGGCCAGGTCGCAGGATGCCTGGACCTGCTGAGATGGGCGCTGGAGGGCTTCCCTGTGCTGCAGGCACACACACCCAAGCTCCCGACTCATGGACTGCACGGCCTGGGCCCCCGCTTGTCCCTGCATTGGCACAGGGGCCCTCCAGGCCGCCTTTGCCCTTGTCCAGCACCCGCCCCTGCTCCCATGTGTGGGTCATGCCCAGTGGTGCCCCAGGGGTATCTGGGGAGGCCCTGTGTAGGCCCCTTCCTTTGTGGGATCCCGATTTCACATTCAGTTCACGGCTCCAGGCAGTGGGAGGGAGTGAGCACTGGTCACCAGGGGGATTGGAGGGACCGAGTGGCAGGGGCCAGTAATGCGCCCCGAGGTCTGCCCAGCCAGACCTGGCCATGGCTGCGGGCCAGTCACATGGCTGTCAGAGAGGGTGGGTTTTTCTTGCGTGTCCCTGGGGTGTGTTGGGCCATGATCTACCTCATTGAGAAATGGAGGCCGATGTTGGGGAAGGCAGATTGGGCCCAGTCTCACTCTGGTTAGGCCAGCAGAGTAGGGGGCACCCTGCCACCCATTCCCTGCGTAGCCCTGGGCCTCGGCATTCTTATCTGTACCATCAGGTTTGGGCGAGGAGAGCCCCGATGCCCTCCAGCCTTCACTCTGGGAGATTCTGAGTGTCGGTCTTCTTCTGTAAAGTAGAAACAGCCCCACCTTCCTGGCTGTGTGATCTGGGCTCATGGTTTTGGACTTGAACATCTTCATCAGTAACGTGGAGATAGTGACTGTCCCTAAGGCTACCGTGCAGCTCACAGAATGAGGCTCTGTATGTGAAGCCCCTCAGAACAGAGCCCGCACAGCGTCTGCGCTGTCAGAGCCTGTTAGAGCCTCTGTCGGTCTTCTTACCATCCTCATCCTCGCCGTCATGGGCTCTCCTGCCTGCCTCGGAGCGGAGGCTGAGGGCGCTTTGAGGAGCTGGCACACCTGTGAGGCTTGCAGGGTGTCTGCATGTGGGAGGGGTGGAGAGTGGAAGGACCTGGGGCCGGAGTGGACCTGGGGCCAGGGCCTGAGCACGCTGAGGAGGTAGAGAAGGTGGAGGGCGGCCCATCGCGCTGTCCCTGGCACAGCGGTTGGCTCTTGCGGTGAGAACCACGCAGGGTGGGATACCACCGCCAAGCCGCCTGGGAAGACGGGATCCTGAGGCCTGGCTGCCTCAAGCGGGAGCTTGGAACTGGAGCAGGGAAAGCAGTGGAAGTGGCTGCGGGACTTGGGGAAGGCGTACATTTGAGATTAGCCTGGGAGGATGCAGAGGACTGCAGGAGGCCGAGAGGGAGGGAGGGACAGGGAAACGGAGCTGCCTCTGTTTGCTCATCTGCACAGTGGGGGCGATCCTGGGGGTGGGTGAGTGACATGTTGCATTTTATGTGTCTATGGATGCCTAACATGGTGAACACAACCCAGAAGCTGCCCAGCAAATGTCCCTCCTCTCCTTTCTCTAGTCGATCACCTGAAGAGAGAAGAATTTGGAAGTTTTAGGAGCTGTCGGGTTGGGGTGGGCAGGGTGGTTCTCAGTGACTCAGGCCGTCTTGGCCCTGGCGTGAGTTGTCTCTGTGCTCTGGGCCTTCATTTTCCCACCTGTAAAATGGGGAGGTGTTGTGTGTGTGTGTGTGTGTGTGTGTGTGTGTGTGTGTGTGTGTGTTTTCCTGTGACCACCTTTGCTGAGCGGTGGGTCAGGTAAGAGAATTAGGACAGTGAAGGTTAAAGGACATGACATCCACCAGCCCCTGACCCGTAGTAGGTGTGTCCTCTTCTCAGTGGCCATTGGCTACTCCCTGGCCTTCCTGCTGCCCCTCTTTGCTGATGCTGGTCCCTCTGCCTAAAACACCGTCCCGCCGAAACCTTACTCCTGTGGGCTGATCCAGGTGGGGGAGGGGACTGGACCGGGCCTAAGAAGCAGGTGTTGAAATTCCATAGCCCATAACTTGGCAGACCAGTTCTCGGGGAAGCTGGTGCTCCCGCTTCCGGGCTGCACGCGGTGAGGGTGGGGTGTCTGGGGCATCTTCAGAAGCACATCACCTGTCGTCATCCTTTCGCCCCAGTCAGCCGGAGCAGCTGAAGGGCAAAGCTTTTCTGCACTGTCACCACTGGGGCCGGCACAGCCAGGTTTTCCCGCCGCAGCCGAGGCACGTCAGCGTGGGCAGTGGATCCGGTCTGCCAGGCCAGCTGCTATCTACACGCTGGGGTCTGTGCTCGGTCTTCTGGGACCAGAAGTGCCCGCTGCCCACGCAGCCTGGCTTTGGAAACAAAAGGCTCAAGCAAGTTTATCTGCCGGGGTGCAGCTTAGAATCGCTAGTGAGGCGTGGGGCCACTCCACGTGCCATCTGCACGGGAGCTCATTAGAAATGCAGCATATTCGCCCCACCCCAGCCCTGCTGAATCCGGTCTGCATCCGAGCAAGATCCACGTGATGCCCATGCCTGGCCCAGTGTGAGCAGGGGCTAGGCCTCAGTCCCAGCCCTGCTGAAAGCTGTGTGACCTTAGACAAGTGACCTCACCTCTCTGAACCTCAGCTCTCTCATCTGCAAAATGGGTTTGGGGGGAAATCCTTTGCCCGAGAGGGTTAATAGTTCACATGAAAGCTGATGAGATATGTGTATGAGGCACTGAGCCCAGTGCGTGCGTGGTACCCAGACGTGCTCACCAATCAATGGCTGCTTCTGTTGCTGCTAACGTGGCTTGGGTTCTCGGTCTGGGTGGACTTAGGGCCGGTCGCTCTCCTTCTCTAGGCCTCATTTTTCCCATCTGTACAATGGGTCTGTTGACTCCTGCCCCACCTTCCTCATGAGAAGGTTGCTGAAAGGAAAAGGGAGAGGGGGCTGGGTGTCCGGCCCAGGAGCTTGGGGAATGGGTGTATGTGTAGCGGGGAGATGTCCCTGGGCGCCTGCATCTTCATCCCTCGCTGCCCCCTTCTCTGCTGCTCCTGCTGTCGCTGTAAGACGCAGTAGTGAGGCCAGGTGCTGGCACCTGCTCTGCGCAGTGGCTTTGGAATCAGGTTCTCTGCCCCCACTCAGAGCTGCATGGCCAGGAGGGATGATTCAGTGTGGGACCTGCCCTCTGGACCTTGGCTTCTCTTGAGGGAAGCCCTGGATGCCCCATGCTGCTGGGGGGTTGGGGGGGGGGCGTGAGGGCTGCTTGTGGACTTCTCCCCACCCAGGACTTCTGTCCCCCCACATTGGGCCTAGGGGTGAACTCCTGGCCTGGCCCTTGACACCCTGGATGACCTTGCAAATTTCTGGCACATTGTGGGCCTCAGTTTCTCTATTTGTACAACGAGGGTGTTCAGTGAGAATGTCCCGCCTGGGTTAGACCCTTAGGTTCCCTCTCTGCCCCTTGGCTTCCTCTGTGTCCTTCATCCCTGGGAGAAGACCCCCCCCCCCCCAGCCCCCCTGCCCTCTAGGTCCTGGAGCCTGTGGCCCATGGCAGATCTAGGCCTGGCTGCCAGTGCCGGGGGCTGATAAAGATCAAAGGGAACAGGGGAGAGGGGGGTGTGTGCATGTTTGTGTGTGTGTCTGTACGTCCCTCCGGGAGCCCTAGCCAGGCCCGTCTCGTCTCGTGTGGGAGAAAGGAGGAATTTTCCTCTGTGTGTGCAAACAGTATCCGTTTTCTCTTATTTCCAAAAGCGGGTGACGTCACCCGCTCTCCGTCCATCCCTCCCCCTGGCCTATTTTTAGCTGCCCCGGCAGCATCCTAAAGGCTTCCAGATCTGCTGCTCAGAGGCCATGTAGGGAGGCGGCAGCGGGGCAAGGAGAGAAAGGGTCTGTCTGTCCCAGGATGGAGAGGGAAGGGAGCCTGCCCCTGGCTTCCTCTGGGGAGGGAGGCGGTCTGGGTGGGGAGCCGGGTTAGGGCTTTGATTGGTCCTGGGTCCTGGAGGAGCCCAGCAGGGTTACGAGCACTCCATCTGGAGCCTCGAGCCCAGGGTTTGAGTCCTGGCTCCACCTGTCTGCACCCTGACCTTGGGCACCTGACTCTGTGCCTGCCATTCTGCACCTGTAATGTGGGGATAATGGAGGTTGTGATGTCATTGAATTATGTCATGGAGACGGGTGCCTCACGCGAAGTCAGCCCTCGTTAAGGCGAGCTGGTGTTGTTACGGCGAGTGCACTGGTTATCGTCTCATCCGGCCTCCAGTGATTGCTGGGGTATGTCGTTACCCCGCCGTGCCTTCTCCTCTCTGTCATTTCCTGTGCAGCTTCGACCCGCGTGTGCACGAACCAGACAGTACATGGAAAGCCTGGAACAGGGCCTGGCATGAAATAAGCGCTAGAGAAGCAAGCGCTGTGTTTGTTATTTTTTGTTTTTCTGTAATAAAACAGACTTTGGTTTGAAATCCAGCCCTACCCACTCACTTAGCTGTGTCTTTGGGCGGGCACTTGACTTCTCTGAGCCTCCAGCCCTCATCTGTACGGTACAGTGATGTCTTTATTGGTGAGGGTAGGCTATGGGACCAGAGACACTAAGATTGCGACAATTAGCACAATAAAAGTGCTTCTTATGGGTGCAGAGAACAGCCTGGCCCCTGCGTGCCAGCCCCGATAGTGTATGTTGCAGCCACGGCAGGAGCAGCAGTGTTTGCACAGCACTTCACAATTTTCGTGAAGGGGGAGTGGAGGTCCCTCCTGCCTTCATCTCCCATGGTGCTGTGCTCATGCCTGAAGCATGACATTCATCCGCACCACCTGGTATTAGGGCCTGTGTTGACCTGCCTGTCCCTGCCCCGCCCCCACCCCCTGCCTAGACGGAAGCTCCTGGAGGGCAGGCAGGGGTGGAGTCACTGCTGTGCCGGGTACAGGCCCAGGGTGGCTGCCTGCTTGGTGTGAGGCTGGACTGGCATGGGAGGCCCCCTCTGACCGCCTGTCCTTCTTGCTCTTACAGATGGGAGGAGGAGCTGGCCAAGAGCATGAACCTGCAGACCGTGGTGGACACGCTGAAGGAGGTAAGAGCCCCAGAGGTCCCTCCCGATCAGAAGAGGCACAGTCCTCAGGGGCAAAGTCCTCAGGGGGCAAAGCCGGGGGCAGTTCCCAGCACAGCCCCTCTTCTGTGATTTCCTGCCGCCTCAGTCTCTCCTTGATGGAGCCAAGGGGCCTCTTCTGTCCCCGGCTTTGCAGCGAGGTGTGGACCGCACAGTGTTGCAGCAAAGCTCAGGTACAGGCCTTGGGAAGCCTGGGTCCAAGCCCTGGTGCCGCCCCAGCTTGTGGGGTGACCTCGGGCTAGTGACTCCCCTCTCCTGCCTCTTCTCCCCACCTGGATGGTGTTTAAGCCCCCACCCCCACCCCCAGCTTGCAGGAACTGACTTAGGGCCAATGCTTGGAGAGGGCAGTGGGCAGGTCACGAGGTGAGCGCCCCACCCGAGTGGGCTCCCCATGGTGGGCATGAGGACCTTCCTTGTTGTTCTGGCTCGGTAGCTCTGTGTTCGGGGCCCTGCACTCATCTGCCTGCTGGGTACCCTAAGCAACTTCACCTTCCCGCCTCCCTTTTCCTCTCAGCCAAATGGGTACAAGAATAGTGGCCCCATAAGAAGGTGTGGAAAGCTCTTTCAAATATTTTTAAAAATTGCTTTCTGATACTTAAAAAATGTATCTTCTAAGCAAGTTAGAGACAGATTAAAATAATATCAATACATCGGCAGGAGAGGATGGACGTCCCCTGCTTTGATAAGGAAAGTGCTTTTTACTTTCCAAACATAACATGTTTATGCTCAAATATTTGGAAGGCTGAGAAGAGCTCAGAGAAGAAAATAAAGCCGCCTTCCAGCTCCGCCCCCCCCCCGCCCCTCCCCCCCATGGCACATTGGTGTGCGACCTTTCGGTCTTTCCCGTGCAAACACACACTCCAGGTGTGCGACCTTTCGGTCTTTCCCGTGCAAACACACACTCCAGGTGTGTCTGCTCGGTTAGGTCAGTGGTCGGCAAACTGCGGCCCCTTGAGTGTGGCTCTTCCACGAAATACCACGTGTGGGCACACACGTACAGTGCGATTGAAACTTCGTGGCCACACTCAAGGGGCCAAAGAGCCGCATGTGGCTCGCGAGCCGCAGTTTGCCGACCACTGGGTTAGGTTGACACTTGCCATTTGGGAGACCAGAGGCGGTCAATATTGGCGATGTCACACGAACGGACCTCATATGTTAACCTATGGGGATCACTTATTGCATTACTTGCTCTTTTCCTCTTACCGTCTGCCATGGGTCTCTCGTGCCGTAATATCCCTCTGAGAAGAGTTTTAAGCTGAGTGCTGGGAAGTCAGGCTGGGCCGAGGTCCTTGGAGCCCCATCCCCAGCCATCAGGTGCCTGGCCTGGCTGGGCCCAGGTGTCCGGTCCCTCCTGCCCTCAGGGTGCCCGACCCCCCTCAACCCTCCCCATCTCTGTCCCCATAGGCGGCGCAGGAGGCCGAAGCCATCCAGGAGGAGATGAACGAGACGATCGAGAGGCTGAAGGCCGAGCTGGTGGTGTTTAAGGGGCTCATGAGTGATGTAAGTGCGCTGGCCGCCGCCCCAGGCGTCATCACCTCCCCACACCCATCATGCAAAACGCTTCATTCACTCCGAGGCTCCAGAGCTCGGCTTCTAGTTAGAGTCCTGGCTGCGCGATTGACTGCGAGGATGACAGATGCATCAGAGACCAGGCGCCCCCTCCTGCCCTCCCTCTCCCGCTTCCCTTGGTCTGAGTAGAGATGCATTAATCTGCCGCTTAACCCATCCTGCCTCCCGAGGCTCCTCCGACGGACGGTCTGTGTGTGTTGGCTCCGACTCTTCCCCAGCTCGCCAGGATGCGGCGGGTGGTGGCCGAGGGCCCCAGTGCCTGGGCACAGGTAGAGGGAGGCCTGTGCCATGCCACCCCGAGAGGCTCCCAGGCCAGTGGCCTTCCGCGGGGCTGCTCTGTACAGTCGGGGAAGGCGAGTGTGTGCTTCCTTTGGCCAATCAGAGCCCTTCTGAGTGACCGCGGGTACCGGCAGCTTTTGGCAGCCCAGGCCACCTCCCTGCTGGGGACCTGGGTCTCCTGCCACCTGCAGGCAGCGGGCAGTGTGTAGGGAGAGCTGCCAGGAGAAGGTGCCCGATTCCGGGTGACTCGTCCAGGTGTGGCCTCTGACCCTGAGGGGTGTGAAGCCAGGTGTGGCTGGGAGAAACCTCCCAGGGTGCCAGGGGGAGGCCATGTGGCTCCCCTCACTGGGGTCCTGGGGGACCCCCTGTCCTGGGCAGACCCCCGCTGTCAGCCATGGGAGGAATCCTGAAGAGAGAGAGCCACCTTGGCAGGCACCTCCGTGGGGAAAGAAGGGAGTCTTTCAGCGCGAGATTGCCTTTGTGTTGTCTTTGCTCTAACAGAATAAACAGTGACACTGTGTCTGCTGAGAGGTGTCGTCCAGCCCTTAGGGAGCCCACAAACGCGGCCTCACATAGTCCACTCGGCGCCAGAGCCTTTAGCTCCCACGGCCCCGCCACCCCCGCCACAGCCTGAGCAGCGCTGGCCCAAGCCTTCACGCCCATCGAGGCCAGCCTCGGACTCCGGGGCGTCCCACCCCGCACCTAGGGCCCTCCACTCCTCTCTGTCCAGCAGGGGCCGGGGAGCAGCGCCCCACGCCATGCCTGCTCCCTCCCTCGCTCACGTAACCCCTGCTGTCCTCCCTGCAGCCCATGACAGACCTGGACACAAAGATCCAAGAAAAGGCCATGAAGGTGGACATGGACATCTGCCGCCGAATCGATATCACGGCCAAGCTGTGCGATGTCGCACAGCAGCGGAACTCGGAAGACGTGTCCAAGATCTTCCAGGTGACTAGGGCTCACCCTGCTCACCATCACCACCCCCACCTGCCACTGCCACCCTCCGGAGAGCCCCAGCCTCCCCCCCTGCCTGGCCAGCCCTGCTCCCCTCACATCCTCCCCACTTCCCCCCACCACCACCCCTCCGGCCCCCGAGGCAGCATGGCCTCCCCAGGAGAGCGTAGACTCAGGGACTCTAGACTCAGGCTGGCCCGACTCCATCCTCCAGGCTGACAGCTTCATCCTGTGGCTGAGGAGACTCTCACCCCGGGGGGTGACAGGATGGGGCTCAAGGGCGGAAATGGCAGAGCTGGGACTAGAACTCGGGTCTCCTGACCCTGCAGGGCTTCGTCCACCCACCCACATTGGGTTCACTGTCCGGATTCCTGCCTCTTCCTCGAGGTGCCAGGCTGTGGGTGCGCTGGGTGAGCTGGCTGAGCCCTGGCAGATGAGCCTCAGGAATCCAGGGACGAGCCTGTTGGCCTCTGTGTGGTTTTCCTTCCCACTGAAGAGGCACTCGGTCTCCCCCTCCCCGCTCCCCCCTCAGTGAGCAAGTGTGTGTCCCGAGAAGAGGCGATGGGTGCAGGGCCGCTGTCCCAGGGCTGGCTGGTCCAGCTGCCCGAAGGGCGCGCGTCCTTCTCCGAAGCCTGCTTCTTCAGTCTGGGCTGTGTTCGGCTTTTGCTAGCCCAGGGCAGTGTGTTGTTGCTTTCAGTGTGTGACTTTGGATGTAGCCGGGTGAGACCTGCGCTTCCCTGGGCCCCCTGTTCCCCTCTGGGCCTCCTCGCAGCCCCGCTGCTGGAGAGCAGGGGGCACCATATCAGCCTTGGTTTGGTTTGCTCATGTCTTGTCTGCTGGGAGTGGAGGGAGCTTGGTGAACCGGGGGCCGCCGCCTCTTGCCTTTGCATGTGAGCAGGAGGGATCTGGATGCAGGGAGCCATCTGGGCCTTCGTGGGGGCTTCTCTGGCTCCCTGGCTGGTGCTGAGACATCCCAGGTGATTCTGTACCGCAGCTCGCTCCTCTCCCCAAATCTGGTGGTGGCTTTTCTGGTGAAGGGGTGAGCTGAGCTGGCCCTGCCACCAGGGCAGGGCAGGGTCCAGGCTGTCTGTGTCCTCCATCCCGCATGTCTCCCCACCTCATGCTTCCTGCTAACGCCGCTTGCTTCTTAGAGGACCTGTGCATCTTCCCTGGCAGCAGCTGGCCCCAGCCACGCTCCATCTATCCCGTGAGATGCTGGCTCCCTTCCCGGTCCACCCCGACCCTCCCTCCCTGCAGAGCCTCCCAGTTACCTCGATCTCTTCCTCTCCGGGTCAGGTGGTCCCCAAAAAGAAAGAGCGTAAGGTGACTTCGGACGATGACATCTCTGAGCAGGACGGGGAGGCGAACCGGTTCTCAGATGAAGAGGTCAGCTCTGTGAACATCACAGACGAGATGAAGCGCATGTTTAACCAGCTGTGAGTACTCCCTGCCCCAGCTGGGGGCTCCTCTCTGCTCCCCCAGGTCACTAGGGCAGGGGTGGCAAACGGGTGGCCGGGGCTGAAAGTAGCCCACAGTGTGTTTTGTTGAACACATTTGCATTCATTTGTAACATTTATAATCTGGAAAGTTCCCCACTTTCAGAAAGGACCAGTGGCCGTGGTGGTCGTATTTGTGTGGGAGTCTTGGCCAAGCCTCAGACGCACCCCGACCGGTTTTCCTCGTGGTGGGATGGCTGAGCTGAGCCACATGCCCGCCACCACGCTGGCCAGCACCCTCCATCTGTAGGGTGCTTTACAATCGTGACTCCCTCAACTCCAGACTGTCGGCCCAGGAAGTGGGGTTATCGCTCCCCTTTTGTAGACGAGGAAACTGAGGCGCAGGGAAACGCCCTGGCCAAGACCACTCCGCTAATACATGGCCGAGCTGGGATTCAGAGCCAGGCCCGCCTGCCTGTGTCCTCTCCCGCTGAGATGCTGCCTGGGTTAGTGGCAGACTGTAGGTTGGACATGGTCAGTGGTGGGATGGAACCGGCTTGTACCGGCTCATGAAAGCTGATTGTTCACGTCTGCCGGCTCCAGGTTCAGTGATGGCACAATAGTAGCTTAAAATTTGCCAGCGTGGAAAACTGGCAAATGCTACCAAGCAGGGCTTACTTCGCCCCCTACCCCCACCCCCCAAGAGCTGTTTTCCCCGACACTCACTGTGTAGAGTGATCTGGGGCAGGGATGCTTTGAGGCCTTGACCTGTCCAGGTCCATGCTCTCAACCGGCTCCAGCTCTACTCTAACCCACATAGCACCCTAAAGTGGGTGGGAAAGGAAGGGGAGGGAGAGGTGTCCCTTTGGGCATTGCATGACTTGCCTAAGGGCCTGGACTCACAGGGCAGGGCTGGGGCTGGTCTCTGGGGTCACCTTTCCCTTTTCCCAGTCACCTGCTCCTGCCTGCTCTGTCTGGGGTCCCTTGCAGTTGGGTTCCTGAGCCCTGAGGACTCAGCTTTTTTCCAGAACTCCACCCCCTCCCCCTCCCACCCCCCTACATCAGTCTCAGGGCTGAGCAAGCTTTCTGACCAGTGCCTCTCCCCTGAGGTCCTCGGTCTCCAACCGCAGGGCTAGGTTTGCCATCTTTGCTCTGATGGCATCACAAAACCCCCAGAACCCCTCCCGAGAGGGCGCGCTCCTCCTAGCAGATGCCTCTGCCATCATAGGTGACTCAGAAGTCAGGGGCCCGGGACTCTGCTAATGCTTCCTGTAAAGATCAGTCTGCCCAGCCCCTTCCTGTTCGAAGGGGGAAACTGAGGCAGAGAGGGATGTGGGAGATGGGATGGAGCCTGGCCCCCGATGGTCAGTCCAGTGCTTCGTCCCCAACCAGCTGTCTTCATGCCTGGAAGAGCTGTCCCTCTGCCCTCTCCAGGCGCCATCCCTGCCCCGGTCCCTTTGCAGCTGAGCCCGGCTACTTGGCAAGGAAGACAGTGGGAACGTGGGGTGCGTTTTTCCCCAAAATGGGGCTGTGTTTTGGGGATTGCTGTTGGAAGGTGACAGGAACACTCCCAGACTCTTGATTCCTCTTTGACATCCCCCCCCCCCCGCCCCCAAATCTCATATTCTCATCTTTTACTAACAAGACGGGGTTGTGGGGGGGGTAACCCTTGGTTGGGTCTAGGGTTTCTGAACGTTGCTCTGGGCATTCCTGAGCCTAAGGCAGAATTGCATGCCCCCACCCACCCAGACTGGGTTCATTTGGTTGAATTAAAGGGCTTCTCTGAAGAAATCATTGCCCTCATTTTCATAAAGTCACCGGGGAAGCAGTAGGCTGCCTAGGAATGGGTGAGCTGAGAGGGACAGTCCCAGGAGCTGGTCCAGGGGCGCTTTGGGCCAGGCTCCTGGGTGCACAACATTAGATTGATATGGTCGTGAAGTCCCTAAGTTTAAAAAAACAAACCCTCCAATCACCCAAGGCCACGCTGACCCCACCCTAGGTGGAGCCCTAGCCCCCGCCCCTCCATCTCCGCCCCTCCATCTCCGCTTGCTGAGATCCAAGCCAGAGACTGCCCCGGGCCAGTTCCACTGAAGTCTTTGAATAATGCACTCGTGTCTGGGCTGTTTTGTTTTGATCAAAATCTGGTGCTTGGGCTTCAGACCAAGGAGAAGGGGAGGAATTGGCTACTTTCTCTGGGTGGTGGCCAGCCCTCCTCCTCAGCCCCGCCTTCCAGGTCTGCAGGGAGTGGGGGTCGCCTCCTCCCAGCCCTTTCTCTGGTCCATCTTCCGGTCCTTGATGGTTTCCTATTCCTCAGCTGGGGTTTCCTTCAGATCCCAGACCATGGGAAGGAAATGAAGTCAGCCGTTGAGTATGTGATGCACTGATAGTGGACCCCAGGGGCTTCTCTGAAGCTAGTCCAGCCGGTGGCTCCTCCCCCTGCAGCCTGGTCCCCAGCTCTGCTCGCTGGACTCACAGAGCCCCCTATAGGCTCTGACTGGAACTGCATTTTGAAGATGAGCCTCGCTCCAGGGGCTGCTCTGGGCAGCTTTTTATCAGAAATTCTTCCTTCTTGAGCCCTGCCCAGTGGCCCCAGCCTGGACCATTTTTGGAAGGTTGGGCAAATCCAGGATGGAGTTGAGGGAGGGAGTGTAGCAGTGGGGAGAGCCTGGGATGGGAGTCTGGAGACTTGGAACCCACTTCCTTCTTGGCTAATTCACCCGGTCCAGTGATTTAGCCCCTGTTGACATCAGCCTTCTCACCTGATTAGTGGGCATATTGGGCTGAGTGGTCCTTAAGGTCCCCTCCAGTTGGGGTAACCATGCATCTCCAGAAACCACGCAGTCCCAGGCAATCCCGTATGGTCCGGCCCCCTCCTTCCAGCCCTAGTGAATAGGGGAGCCCTGAAGTCACCCAGGCGGTGAATTCAAATGTGACTTTCAGCACGTGTGGTCCTGGAAGTCTACCTGATCCCTCTGAGCCTCAGTTTCCTCACCTGTAAAGTGGGAATAATAAGCTTGTCTCCTGGGATGGGTGCGAGGATAGAATAAATTGCATTTTACTAAGTGCTCAGAAGCCAGCCTGTGACAGCACATCGTGAGCGAGTGGTGCTGTTTTCGTGGGAAGGAAAGCGCTGTAGGAAACAGAAAGATCTGGCTTCAGCCCGTTTCCGCTACCGGCTGGCATGTGACTTTGGACAAGTGAGTTTTGCTTTCTGAGCTGCAATGTCCTCATCTGTAAAATGGGAGCAGTAGCATCAACCATTCCGAGTTGCCGACGTTATGTAAATCTCCTCACGCAAAGGAGAGGTTCAAGAAATGAGCTATTGAATGAAAAACGTACAAGATGGGACTTGGGCGGAAATTGCCTTTAGTCTCCATTGATGATGAAGCCTGGCCTCTTAAAAACATACATTTGAAAGTGTATAAAGAGCATGTGAGAACATTCTGCATTTTAAAAGAGTTCAACTCCGTGGGTAAGGCGCGTGTCCCCTTTGCCACCACCTCTGTCTCCTTAGGAACACACCCACTGGGGCAGCACCCTGTCTCCCTCCCGTCCTGGCCCCTGGAGCCTGGCTCCTGCTCAGTCCCGCCCTCCTTGTCCCCCTCCAGGCGGGAGACCTTTGACTTTGATGATGACTGCGACAGCCTGACGTGGGAGGAGAATGAAGACACACTGCTGCTCTGGGAGGACTTCACCAACTGCAACCCAAGTATAGACCTGCAGGGCGAGGTGAGTGGGGCCAGGCTTCCCAGGGGCCGGGAGGTGGGGACCAGGGGCACCTCCTTTCAATGATCCCTCCTCCCCATCCTTTCCCTGCAGCTCCCCACCTCAACCCCCCCTCCCCCAGCTAAATGCTCCCCTTTGATCTGTTTCCCCAGCAAGAGGAAAACTTGGGCAACTTGATCCATGAGACGGAATCCTTCTTCAAGACGAGAGACAAGGAGTACCAGGAAACGATAGGCCAGATCGAGGTGAGGGCTCGGCCTGTGCAGCCTCCGCGTCGAGACCCCTGGTGACTAAGTTGCTACGTAGGCAGGGGCTGGTAGCCTGGGGTGGCCACAGGCTCTGGAGTCAGGAGGCCTACCGGTTCCCTGCTTGGTGCTGGGAAAGCCATACCCCTTGTAGGGCCTCAGTTTCCTAACCTGTGAAATGGGAGTAGTGATCCCTGTCTGCCCCAGCGAGGTTTTATTTAAGCTATTCAACTGAGATGGTGGTCCCAAAATAATGAGAGCTGACAACTGAGTGACATCAAGTGACACTAGGCACCGAATGAGCCCATGACAAGGACACCCTTCCTAGTCTCCGCACACCCTCGTATGGACCTGCAGGTACCCAGGTACCCTATGCAGTAGGTACTGAGCATCCTGTGTTACAGAGGAGGACATGAGGCTAACAGAGACCAGTGACTTGGCCAAGGTCCCCAGACAGCACACAGCCTTGGAGCCCCGCCCTCTGTGCCCGAGAGCCTGCACGTGGCCATGTCTGCCAGTGAGGTCACTGCTGTTGTCATGCTGGAGAAAGAGGGGCCCCTGTCCTGGGGGATGTCTCCTTTGGTGGAGAAGAGTAGAAATGTAAAGACGTGAGGACTTTTCTAATCAAGGCCACAGAAAGGAGCGCAGAGGTGCAGGGTGGAATAGAGTTGGTAGAACCAGGTGGGCTCGTCAGGGAAGGCTGCCCTGTGGTTGCTAAGCAACCATTCCCCTTTCTCCAGAAGTCCTTCTCAAGGCCATGGGGACAGGTATCCAGAGAACAGAGGCCGAGGCAGGGTCCTGCGGGCGTGGTGTCCAGGGGTGGTCTGGAGGCCGCCACCACCCAGGCGGTGGGAGGGGATTGCTGAGGGTTTTGCTGTGAGGATGACTTGGCCTCACCTTACCCCACGTTGGTTCCCCTCAGCTGGAGCTGGCCACAGCCAAGAGCGACATGAACCGACACTTGCATGAATACATGGAGATGTGCAGCATGAAGCGTGGCCTGGACGTGCAGATGGAGACCTGCCGCCGGCTCATCAAAGGCTCCGCGGACAGGTACCTGGCCCTTCCTCCCTGGGGATTCAGCAGTTGGGTTCTTGGGGGACGTTTATGAGGCTGCAACTTACAAGTCTGGCCTGTTTCATCTGCCCGGCGCACGTGTCCGGCCATCCATCCAGGAATATTAGTCACCTCCCTACTGCATGCTAGATGACTTCCCTAATCTCACGTAACTCCCTGCACCCACTTACTCAACAGCTACTTGTCGGAGGCCTGCTCTGTGCAAGGCTGTGGGGATACAGTGATGAGCGTATCAGCCATCGCCCCTGCCCTAGGGAGCTTACACCCCCCTTTCTGCTGAACTGGGGAGTGGAGAAGGTGGGCAGGACACTCCTCTCCACATGGCTGATGGGACCCCCATTTGCCCATAGAAAGCAATTTCACATTCTTTCCCATATTCCACTCCGGGGCCAGGTGGGCCAGGGCCCTTTTATTTGCCGGGGTGGCTGACACCCCAAAACAAAGACAGAGCCCCTGCCTTTAAGGAACACGCAGCCTCGCCCAACCAGCATGGCTCAGTGGTTGAGCGTCGCCCTATGAACCAGGAGGTCATGGTTCCATTCCCGGTCAGGGCACATGCCCAGGTTGCAGCTCGATCCCCAGTGTGGGACGAGCAGGAGGCAGCCGATCAGTGATTCTCTCTCATCATTGATGTTTCTAGCTCTCTCCCTGTCTCCCTTCCTCTCAGAAATCAATAAAAAATATATATTTTAAAAAATAAAGGAACACACATCCTGTTGGGGAGATAGCCATGCTACTAATAAGATGGGATAATACATGTAAAGTGCTTGGCACAAGGCGCAAATAGATGCTCCTTGTAATTGCTTCTCTTGTTACGACGATATTCCCGCAGGCTGTGGTTCAGGCTGTAGAAGAGGGAGGGCAGCTCTGTGGGAAGTAGCGTGTGGGGCCCTCGGCTCAGCCAGTCCTACCGTTAGCTCACGGACCCCCCAGGTCCACTGTCGTTATCTCCCCTGTGCGGGTGGAGGAGCGGAAGCTTAGGCAGGTCAAAGAGTTTGCCCAAGGGCGCCCAGCTCATCAGTGACAGAGCCAAAATTTGAACCTAGTGCTCTTAACCACTATCCAGTATGGCCTCCCTGTGAGAATGGAGTTAACTGGGGTTGACTGAGCACGTGCTCTGTGCCCGTCCTGTGTTAGGTGGCTCGAGGGTAAGAACCACGCTTGGTCCGTGGTCTCTGCTCCCACGGGGCTTTCAGCGTCCGGAGCAATTAGAGGCTGGAACAGGAGCCCCCAGAGGTCTTGAGAGCCATGTTCAGCGTGTGGGCTTAGGAGATTCTAAGAAAAGCAGAGCAAGGGCGGGGTCTCAGGCAAGGACCCCCTCTGAGGTCAGGTCTTGCAGGAGTGGTTGCTCAGCCCTTCCGGCTCCTTAAATCCTTCAGGGTCCTCAGGCTGCCCCCCGACTGACCCCCATTCTCTCGTCCTTCCAGGAATTCCCCATCCCCCAGCTCCGTGGCCAGCAGCGACTCAGGAAGTACAGACGAGATCCAGGACGAGTTTGAGCGGGAGGCAGACGTGGAGCCCATGGTCAGCTGATGGCTGAGGCCCCCGTGCCTGGTGGTCTTGGTGATGGGGCCTCTGCCCCTTCTCCCCACGAGGCCAGGAAGGCTCCTCGGAGTGGGGCTCCGGTCCTCACCACACGGACGTCCTCTGCCCTCCCTTCTCTGGAGGCCCCAAGGGACCGCTGCTTCCTTCCTCCCTTCCACTCACCATCCCCCCGTGCCCCTCTCCATCCACCCACCCACGGAATGGTGCTCTCAATTTCTACACTCCACGTTACCAATGCAGACTTCTGTCCAGATGATGCCGTGTGAACCGTGCCTTTTCCCTTAAGCTGAGCCACTTTGAGCTCCAAAGAATTATTCGTAGCAGGTGTTTTTATACAAAACTCTAAGGTGAGGGCGGGGCCCCGGTGTGGCAGATTATGGTTTTCTACCCTCCCACCTGCTCCTCTGATTGGCTATGACCTATGCCCTCCCGTCCTCTGCTGGCCAGCACTGATGGAGTGGGGCTTGGGCGGTCCACTTCCATCCAGGACGGAGCTGTTTGCCTCTGCGAACCTTCCACGCCTGGGTGCGGACCTCCCAAGGGTTTTTTTCACTTATCAAAAGGGAAAAAAAGATGGAAGGAGGGAGGGAAGACAAATTCTTAGTTTCTTTTCAGATCGAGTGGCACAGTGGAGGGACAAGGCACTGTGGGGGAAGGTGGAGCCTCACTGTGTTTAAACTACTATGCAAAAAACAAAACAAACAAAAAAAGCAGCTTGCCTTATATATTGTGGAAGGGAGGCCTCTCCCAGACTCAGGGTTTTCCCGTGGAGCTGGGAGGGAGGCCGCCGCTAGGGCCATGTCTCTTGCAGCCTGTGAGGGGGTTCGGTCAAGGTCAGTAGAGGCCTGGGTCCTGCAAAGCCCTTGGCCACCTGACTGTTTGCTTTCTTGGGACCTCTGTGTGTTGGGGGGGGGGGTCTTTTATTGCCCTGATGACTTGATGTTTTCCCTCTGTTTCCAGCCGACTGTAAGGGGTTGGGGTCTGTAATTTCTCTGTGAGAAAGCCGGAAGGGAGCCAGGCCTGCCGTCACCCCTTCCCCAGTGGAGCCGGGTCAGGCCCGCCTGCTACCATCTTGGTTCTCCACTGTGCCCAGTCGCCCACTGTCGGGCCACTGGCAGGCACTGGGAAGGGAAGGGACGAGGAGGGAGGCAATGAGGGCTGCTGGCAGGTTGGAGGTGGCAGGAGGCGGCGCTCAGGCGAGAACCATCCTTGTTCGACATCTGCCAGCTTCTTTCCGTACTTCACTGACCCGTGGGGAGTAACTGAGCCAGTCTCTCCCACGGCCTGAGTGGGCCTGCGTTGGAGAGCGCTGCGTGAGGCCACCCGCCAAGTCCCAGCTTGGAGCCAGCTGACCAGGCTTTGCTTTTTGGTTTTTTTTTAAGTTTTTTGTCCCCACTCCTGTGGGTATGTTTGGCGAGTTTTGTTTTTGTTGGCCCAGCAGCTCCCCCTGGAGGTCAAAGAGCACACTGAGCCCGATGACCAGAGCTCCTTACCTCCGGGGCTTATGACTCCCGGCACAAGAGGGGTTCTGGCTTCCAGGAGGTTGTGCCCCCCAGTCTTTCCTCCCCGGGGTACCAACCACCGCGAAGGGCCTTCTTTCTCTTCTGTTTCCCCTCCCTGTTTTGCAGTCTTAAAACCATTGTACATAATAGTCACATAATATATATATATATATATGGAGAGAGAGAGCAAGCGTGTTAGTGACAGTGTGTTCTTTTTATTTATCAGAACTTGGTGGCCTTTATGGTTTTTTCCTAATTTTCGTTTTTGTTGGGCGAATCGTTCTGTTCCCCGTGGCAGTGTGGCCACGTGCCCAGCGAGAGGCGTCCGTGCCCAGCGTCTCCCATTAGCGAACAGGCCCTTGGCAGGTACTAGGGGGGCGATGGCTTCGGAGGAGGGTGGCCCCTCCCCCTCCTCCTTACCGACCCTTGTTCTAAAGGTTACAGGGTTCAAATGTACCTGGTGATTATTGCCGTTATTGTTCTTGTTGTTTTAGTTTAGCTTTATTTTAACCAAAGGTTATCAGAGCCAGTTGGGCTTGGACCTCAGCTGCTAAAAAGATTTTCCGTTTCCAGGAGGGCAGGGAGATGGCCCTGCAGGCCTCTGCCGTCCAGGGCTAAGGGAGATGGTGCATGGTGTGGGCAGACCGGCAGAGTGGAAGCCGGCCCTGGGTGGTTCCTCCAGGTGGTGATGGTGGTGGGGCGGGGGTGGGGTGGGGGGTGGGGGGCGCGGACAGGCCTATTGTTATAAATATGACAGTAAGGCAACAGTGTATTTTGGGGGTAACTAAGGTGATTGGTGTCCAGTGGTATTATTTTTTCTTTCCCCTTTGTTGACATTTGTCACTGGGGACTAGAGGACTCTGAATTTGTCCAAGGACTATAGAAATGGCAGGAGCCAGAGACAGACACTGGCTGAGAAGTGTCCTCCCTGCTGGGGAGCCAGGATTTGGGGCAGGTGGACGGGGCAGGGACCGCAAGGATGTGGCCCACCTGCTTCCTGGGCAGGGTCCTGGGTCCTGGCCTGGCTGCCTCCCTCCCCACCAAGTTCTTCTCTGAGTTAGTTGCCAGTAGGCCCTGTTTGTCCCCTGCCACGAGCCCACAGCTTGCCAAGAAAGACCCCAACACTCGCCAAGGCATCACCGGGTCCAGAGGGGACACGCTGGTCCGTCCTTTGTAAAGCTGTAAATACTTAATTTTGGTTTCTACTTCTAAGCCCAGTGTCATATTGACATTGGTATTTTAGATGGCTCCCAGATGGGCTCTCCTGTGCTGCCCGCTCTCACCCTCCTATTTTTGGGGGTTTTATAAAAAGAGAGGATTGGGGAGGGGCAGGATGGGGAATTCCTTTTGGTTTCTTGGTTGTGGAACACACACACACACACACACACACACACACACACTCCTCTGAGAGTCCGAACAGGGGAAAAAATTCTTGGCAAGTGAACACATTTTGTTTTCTTGCGGCAATATGTCCTGATGGACGGGTCTCTGCAGGGCCAGTCCATCGCGCACTTAGCTCTGTGGGTGCAGCTCAGATGATTTAGGGAGAAGCAAACCTCTTTGATTTGGGATGAGGGAGAAGGAGAGGGGTAGGGGATAATATAAGGTATAACTTAAGCTAAATGTAACCTATTTATAAAGCAAGAGACTCTCATCTATTTTTATGAAAGCAAAGGTTTTGTAATCTAGGCTAGGCAGTTGTGGTGGCCCAGCATTTTTCCGTGGGCACGGTGCATGTTGCTGCTGGATTTCATATAATCGGTACCCCCACCCTGTCTTCCTGTCCTCACCGCCTACTCTCCACACCCATGAGCCGGCTTCGGCAGAGCATGGGCCCCACCTCACCCCAGTTCCCTTGTTCTCTGATCCCGTAGCTCCTGGGTCCTTGGAAGTCTTAGGTGGGGAGGGCACTTGTGGGAGTGGGCGGGCAGTGGAGAATTCAGCATGGAGGTGGGTGGGTGGGGGATGAGAGGGAGCATGAGATAGGGGACACGCTCTGCTTCCAGGTGGGCTCCGAGTAGTTACTTGAACTGTGTGAAGATCCACTTCCAAGTCCGCTGAGTTTGGGAGAGTGTGGGTGGCAATGGGGCTGCCGGCTCCGGGACCACATGGCTTCCCTGGGGGTGGGGTGGGGGGGCCTGGGACCCTCTAGAGCTCTAGTGGGTCCCAGGTTGTTAGGCAGCTGGAGTGGGAGTGGAAATGCCATGAAATGTCCACAGTCCTGGCTGTGCCCATGGCCTGGGCGGCTCCTCCAGGCCCTGGCTGAGGGATTAGGGCTGATTCTCTCAGAAGGGAATTTTCCATGGGTGGAAGATTTACAGGCTCAGGGTGGGCTGTGTGTTAGTTTGGGGCAAATCCCTCAGCATTCCTGCTGCCAAGCCCTCAAAGGAATGAGGCCAAGGCACCCCTCACCACCAAGACCCCTTCGTGGACATTTTAGCATCTACGTGATTTTTAATCCCTTCAGGGAGACTTTCTATCCTGCAGTCCCATCCCACCCCACTATTGCTGTTTGTCTGCCAGCTGGGTCAAGCATCAAGGGGAAGGGGGGTTTATACTCACTGAAAGACTACTGATCCTACCGGGAAACCAACCTGTTTACTGTACTGTTGTAAATATCATACCCTTTATATCCTGTATATTGGCTTCTTTTAAATAAAGTGAAATGTCTTAGAATTGATGGTGTACTTTTTTCTTTTTTTAACTGAGGAAAAAGTGGCAAGGGGACTGAGGGCCACATAAACACGAATGCAAACTCATTAGCCAATGAGTGGTGACATGGGGAAATTTCACATCATCTGCATCTCGCAATACAATCTCTACAAGTAGGGAAGGCAGGATTTATTACCCACATTCTACAAAAGGGGAAGTGAGAGCCAGAGAGAGCACAGGCGGAGTAACTGGCACGCCTAGATTGGAAACGAGGTCCTGTTAATCCCCAAATCCCCGTTTCGTAAACTTCCGCACAGTGCCCAGGAGAGCCAGCTCCCAGACGCTGAACTTGACGTTGTCCAGCGTTCCAGTTTTTTCTTGTTAGTGGCCAACTTCAGGAAAGCACTGCCCTGTAGGAGCGGCCCCCGTCCCCGACTAGGGTTTTCTTCAAGGATCAAGAGAAACAGTCCCACCAATCCCTGTAGAGAGCGCCTGGGAAGGCACATGGGCATTTCTTTAATTATCGTCAGCTGCATCCAGTGGTGTTGGCAAAGCCACGTCCTGGAAACATGCTTTGCCAGAGGCGGGAGTGTTGTCAGCTTGACCTTCAGCCCAGGTGCCAGGGGTGGGTTTTGTTATTTAAATCCAGCCAAGCACCAGGAGTGAATACGACTCAGGTCCACCCAAGAATGTACATAATCTCCTTTGTCTTGACTTTTAGTAAAACTTCCTGTTTTTTTGCTGCATAAAATAAATATACTGTGTTGGCTCTGGGTCCCTGTCCCTGTCTCTCCATCAGAGGACAGTGGTCCCACCCGGTCCCAGCTTTTTCCTTCCATCTCTGTGTCTGTCTCTTTCATTTTCTCAATCCCCAGCCACCCCTACTCAGGAACCGGACCGCTCTCTAACCGAGCTGGACACGGAGAAGAGAGACATATTTACAAATCCCAATCCACTTTTTGCTGTATCCAAGACTTTCGCTTATTGTCGTTTCTTTTTTCCAACTCCCAGCTGTTTCTATTCCCCGAGTGTGACCTTCTGAAGGAAGAGTAGCATGGGATACTGAGGTCATTCTAAGGTGGGCATTATTACTCCCAATTTTTTAAATTTTTATTTTTATTGATTTCAGAGAGGAAAGAAGAGGGAGATAGAAACATCCATGATAAGAGAGAATCATTGACTGACTATCTCCTGCAAGTCCCCCACTGGGGATCAAGCCCACAACCCGGGCATGTGCCCTTGAGTGGTATCGAACCTGGGACCCTTAAGTTTGCAGGCCGAAGCTCTATCCACTGAGCCAAACCGGCCAGGGCTATTGCCCCCACTTTATAGACAAGGAAACTGAGGCTCAGGGAAGTTATGTATTTTGTCAATGTCATAGGGAGGAACCACAATAAGAATTATAATGGACTCTTTAGCAGGTTATGAATGTAAGAAACATTCACATCTGTAAGGAATTTTTTGTGTGAGTTCATTTGAGCCAAACTGTCAATAATTGGTGGGAAGCAGAATCTCGATGGATGAGATAATGCTCCAAAGAATGACAGTCTGGCACTTTGTTTTATACATTACAATCCAAAGAGGAGACATAAGTGGGTTACATGAAATCCATTGGTGATAGATTTGGGAGGTGGGAGAAAGCAAAGCCAGGGAGGTGCGGGAAGCTCTGGGATTGGATAAAAAGTGAAATGATAGACACATACTTCTTTTATGTGGGAGCAGGAAAGTTAAGTCAACAATTACTCAATAACAACGAGGGGATTTGTGGTCTCCGCAGAGCAGTGCCTGTGCTTTGAGCGGTCCACAAGAAGGAAAATTTGGACATCCCAATGATATGTTATCATAGATGCAAAATGACACTAGGGTCAGTTAAGGCAAAGACTGACCTTTGTCAGGGAAAATACCAGCCTAGGATATGACTACCCACCATACACTGCTTTTTAATGTAAAAAGTTTTTATTTCAGAGCATCCTTTGTGCTTAATTTGGGTCTCTGAGTTTGCAAGACTGCCACACAGGCCTTCCCTGAGCTAGTCAGGTTAGCATGTGGCACCTTTTCATCCACAAGGTTCTCAGATCACACTGCTAGAGGAAATATAAACAGAAAAATTAGAGTATTAAGAAAAGCTGTGACAGAACCTACACAGAACCTAGACACAGAACCTAGACACAGAACCTAGAGACAGAAGAACTTCGCTGGAGAGAACATGGCAAAAGATCCTGGACAGAAACTGGCCACAGAACCTAGAGACAGAACCTAGCGAGAGAACATGGCAAAAGATCCTGGACAGAACCTGGCTACAGAACCTAGAGACAGAACCTAGCGAGAGAACATGGCAAAAGACCCTGGACAGAAACTGGCCACAGAACCTACAGACAGAACCTGGCTACAGAACCTGACTAGAACCTGGTGACTGAACCTGGCTGGAGAACCTAGACAGAACCTGGCTGGAGAACCTAGCAAGAGAACATGGACACAGAACCTGGCTGGAGATCCTAACCAGAACTTCGCTGGAGATCTTGACCAGAACTTGGCTAGAGATCCTGGCTAGGCTGCTGATCAACTGGAAAAAAAAAAAGAAAAAAAAAGAAAAGCTGTAACAGTTGTTAATGTAAAAAAACATTGAAACCTGTAAAGAATTTTTGTGAGTTTATTTGAGCCAAACTGTCGACATATGCTGGGAAGCAGAACCTCAACGAATTGAGATAATGCTCTGGAGAATGGCGGGTTACGTCTGTATTTATACATTGCAGTCAAAGGAAAGGGACGTAGGTGGGTTACATGAAATTCATTGGTGATAGACTAGAGAGGCGGGAGAAGGCAAAGCAGGGAAACCCCTGGGATTGGATAAAAAGTAAAATGATAGACACATACAGTGGGGCCTTGACTTACGAGTGTCCCAACTAACGAGTTTTTCAAGATACGAGCCATCTCTCGGCCGATTTTTTGCTTGGAGTTGCGAGCTAAAATTCGGGTTACAAGCCAGTTCAGATACCCCACCGCTAGTTGGCGCAGCGAACATCACAGTGAACGCCGCATCAGCCCAGCATCACATGTCTCACTCATTCACTTTAAGATTTGAGTTACGAGCTCCGTCACGGAACGAATTAAACTGGTAAATCAAGGCCCCACTGTATTTAGGTGGGTGCAGGAACAATGGACATAACAATAAAGGAATTGGTGGTATCTGTCCTGACGCCCAGCACATTAGGCTGTGCCCCAAGGGGTCCAGAAAAAGGGAAGTTACAAGTTACCCAGACATTTCAAGGGTATGTTATCATAGATGCAAAAAGACAGAGAGGCTCAGTTAAGGTAAAGGTTGACCTTGTCAGTGAAGATACCAGTCCAGGATGTAACCACCCACCATCACTGCTTTTAGTTGAAGTTTAATTTCAGAACATCCTTTGTGGTGACGTTAGGTCTCTGAGTTTGCAAGACGGCCATGCAGGCCTCCCCTGAGCTGGTCGGGTCAGCATGTGGCCCCTCTCGCCCACACAGCGCTTTAGGAATGCAATGGGTCCCTAAGACCTGTCATCAGAAAGGCTCAGAATCCGCCCTGACCTTGTGGCTCAGGGGTTGAGCATTGACCTATGAACCAGGAAGTCACGGTTGGATCCCAGTCGGGGCACAAGCCCAGACTGTGTGCTGGATCCCTAGTGTGGGGCACGCAGGAGGCAGCCAGTCCATGAGTCTCTCATCATTGATCTTTCTCTCCCTCTCCCTTTCTCTCTGAAATCAAAATATACAGTGGGGGCCTTGACTTACGAGTGTCCTGACTAACGAGTTTATTGAGATACCAGCTGTCTCTCAGCCGTTTTTTTGATTGAGTTGATAGAGTAATTTGAGTTAACGAGCTCCTTAACAAGCTCGGTCTCGGGACGAATTAAACTCGTAAGTCAAGGCCCCACTGTATTTAAGAAGAAAGAAAGGAAGAAAAAAGAAAGACTCATAATCGAGTTTTAAATAACATTCAAGCTTTCACCAAATGTCTCCAAGAGAAAACTAAAATTTTGATCCAGGGAGGGTAAAAATTACACTGCAGGCGCAGCTGGTTCCGCGGCCAGAGGTTTTGAAGGAAAAAGCTAGGCGTAGACCAGCTCAGATTTTACCTTTTATTGACCTTAATCTTCAAAGAATTGAGCTGCTTTCTTTATCTGGGCGCCAGGCCCGGGGAATGTGGTCCAGCGCCCGGCGAGAGGGAGAGGGTTCCTGGGTCCCGGTCCGGGAGCTGGAGGCGGGGGCGACGGGCTCCTCCCCGGGCCGGCACCCCGCGGGGGGACAGATGGCCGCGGGCGGCCTCGCGGTGAAGGACGGTAACCTCCGGCCCAGGGCTGCCCAGTGGTCAAGCCGGGAGAGCCGCCGCACCTGACGCTCGGCCCCGCGGTCCTTACCCACGGCCACGCACGTGTCCCATTCCCGCCCTCTCATTGGCCCTTTCGGTCCCTCTCGGCCTTAGAAGCCGGAGACATAATCGCCCCTCTGATTGGCCCAGGAGCTCCCATGTGTCATTCTGATTGGCCGATGGGGCTCACGCCCTCTCCGGTCGCATCAAAAGCCACTGGGTCTTACCATTAAGAGAGGAGGGGGAAACGTGAATACCAGCAGACTTCCCTTTTGTATGAACAGGCCCTGTGCCACGTAATGGCCTCTGTAATGCACTACAGAAAATTAATTTATTAACCTAGATAAATATAGAGCTATTTCGCTTGACTCTGCCTCGGAGGACAGCCGAGGGGACTCGGAATCCCCCCTCTTTCCGAGGTAGTGCGCTCCGGGCGGGGCCGCGCCGTCAGGTTGCGACCCAGTACACTGTCCGCAGAACAGCCACACCGCGAGCTGAGATGCCGCCGCTGCCGCCCGTGCTTCGCCGCGCCCTGCTGGCCCGCCCCTGGAGTGGGGCCAGGTGAGTGCAAACCCGGCCTGGGGACGCTCTGTCGCTCGGGGTCCCGGGGTCGCTGGCGTCCCTCATGCGGGACTCCCTCCCTGCCGGACCCCCACCAGGTTCCCAGGGGCTCCCCTCCGCGAGGGTCGCTTCTTCTAGGACCTCCCGTCGCCGTCCTCCCCCAAGGCCTTCCTCTCACTGCGACACCCCTGTCTCCTTCCTACAGCAGGGGGACCCCCTTCCCGAACTGCGGCCGGGTGGGGGCCTCGCTGCTCTCCCGGCTCCCGAGCCCCGAAAGCAGCCTCCTACGCCCTGGTCTTGCTCCTCCCAGGCACCTTTCCAATGCGCCCACTGCCGGCTGCCCCCTGGGGCACCTCTGTTGTTAGTGCAGCGCCCTCTCCGCCCCTCCCTCCGTCTCACACTCAGGACCCACCTCCGGGGTTCCGAGACTTCCCTCTCCGGAACTTCTCCTCTCTTCCCCTTTTTCAAGTTAAGTGCAGGGCAGAAGAGGGCTCCTTTCTTGTGACACGTGGGATAATGTGTGTGGAGAGCTGGGCCTTTGGCGTATGCTTTATGGTAAAGACCGAGTGAATTCAGTAGCGTGCACCAAAGGGCGGCAGGCGCATTGGCAATGCCAGGTTACCATCACGATCCTCGTTGTCACTTGCATTTTAAACTTCTGTGCGGTAGGTATTATTATTGCACATTACAGATGAAGACTAATTTCCGAGTGGAGTGCAAACCCCCACGGTGTGGAGCTGGGTTCCTGGGCCTTGCTCACTCCGTGACACATGTCCTCAGAGCCCCCTCCTGCTGGGGACTGGGAGGGGGAGGTAGGACACAGACCCTGCTTCAGAGGGGCTCCCAGTCTGGTGAGGCTGCCCCTCTTATTGGACCTGGGTTTCGGGGGTCTGCCTTTCAGAGCTGGGCAGCCGCACCCCCCCCCCCCCATTTGAGTGTTGTTTGCCTGATCCCCAGGACTGTGACCAGCTCTGTCTCCTGCTGAGCTAGGCTCTTTCCGAGTTAATCAGTGTCCTAAGGGATGGCACAGGGGTGCCCTGGGCAGGGGTGAGTTTCAACACTGCTGTGTGTCCTCCGTGGGTGGGGATGGGGTAGGGAAGGGCACAAGACGAGGACAAGGACATGGGGGAGAAGGGCTCCCCTGAAAGCCAAGGTTGGGGTCGTACTTGCCACCCCCTTGTCCTGCATTCGGAGACCACCCCTCAGACTGCAGATGGAAGTCCCATAGAGTTACAGTGTAACCTCGTTTCTTGAACGCTATTTGTTCCGGAAGGCTGTTCAAAAAGCCATTTGTTCGCAAACGGAATACTTTTTTCCCATTAGAAATAATGTAAATTGAATTAATCTGTTCCAGAGCCCCAAATGATTTCCTGTCTCAACCTTTCTTGTATACAGTACATGTTTAATGTATTCTTTAATTGATAAGTAAACACTTTACTTAAATTTATCAAACCACCCCCTACTAGCCTCCAAAATCCTGTCACCAGCTAACTGCTTTTACTTTATCCAATCAACAACAGTTTTTCTACCTATTCAGTAGTCTGTGATTGCTGTCTTGTGAGCACTTTCACACCCTTAGCAACATTAGAATTCGGGATGGCCTCTTTATGTTTTAAATTGTGCCAACCGCCAGTAACAAAAGCATTCCCTCCTTTGCTTGTTGCCTGCAAGATGCATTTTGTCATGCGGAGCTTTCAGCAGGAAAGGGTTGTCAGATCGAAAACTGAAGTTTTGGTCAACAACCGAGACATTGTTTTCTGTGAGCAACTTGGTCAAGAACCGAATTGTTTGAGGTGGGAGACATCTGAGAAACGAGGTTTGACTACTTGTTTGCAGTACCTACCATGTGCAGGTGCTGTGCTAAACACTGGAGCGAGGGGTGCCCAGGGAATTTACCTGTGGATGGGGCCTTCGAAGAGTTTTCATATCATACCCTCTATATCCTGTATATTGGCTTCTTTTGTTCAACTGAGGATAAAATGGCAAGGGGATATGAGGGAGGGAGGGGCATCTAGCGGTGGAGGAAGACTTAGACGTAAAAAAAACACCCCTCAGATATCTGGTAGAAAGCAATCCATGTTCTCTTTTTAAAAAAGCCTATTATAACAATAATGTTTATCAGGCAGTCAAATACCACCGGCCTGGCACAGTGCAGATAAGCACTGCATTACCCCATTTTACAGATGCCAGACTATCTGCCCAAGGGGCACACACAGCGCGAGATCAAACAGCGAGCTTGGCAATTTCGGTAACTGGTTCTGTTGTCAGTGGCGTGCCTTTCTATAGCAAGCGTGTCAAACTCGCAGCTGGTGGGCCGCATGCCTAAATAAACAGGCATGTGGCCCTCTGGCCTAGAGTTTGACATGCTTTTCTACAGCTTTTGTTGGTTAATCCTCACCTGAGGACATTTTTTCCCATTGATTTTTATTTTTTCTTTAGAGAGAATGGAAGGGAGGGAGGGGTAGAGAGAGAAAGAGAGGAACATTGATGGGTTGCCTCCCGGTGTGCCCCAGGGCTGGGGAAGGAACCTGCAACCCTTCAATATGGGCCTAAGCTCTACCACTGAGCCACACTGACCAGGGCTCTGCAGCATTTTTAACGGGCAGGCCTCTATTCAGAGGTGCACTAAGCCACACCCCAGCCACGTGCATTTGTTTACTCGAGGTGACTGGTGAATGCACGTATTTGCTAGGCCTATTCAGTATAAATTTAAAATTATAATACATATAGAAAACTTTTCTGTGAAAAATTTTAATTATACAAATGTGTCTACATAAGTAAAAATAGGCAAACTGCATAATTTGTCAATTTTTTAACATACACATTCAGAGAACCTACTTTATCATGTAATGGACTTTCGGCTTTAACAGATACCGCCTCACCCAAATTAATCTGTTTTATGGAGGTTTTACTGTTAATAATACATTTGTAGGGTGGATTCGATGCGATAATCACTTAGCATGGTGCCAGGCATGGTGTAAGTGCTTAATAAATGCTCCTTGATGTTTCCGGGGCAATAAAATGCAAACATCATCCTTTGCTAGATGCCCCTCCCTCCTGGACCTGCTCTGAGCCCCTCACTGCTGGCCGCTTATCTCTGTGATAAGGAGGATTAACCTAATCAGGCCCCAGATAACAGCTGCCAAAGCCCGGGTGCTGAAGGAAGCTAGAGTAATCTCCTTTCTACTCTTCTTCTTGGCCGTGGCCACCTGGGCCTCAGCCACTGGGGAGCCAAAGGGATCTGCACCCAGTCCCAGGTGTTAGCAGGTGCGCACTGGCCTGGTAGTCGGTCCTGGGGGCCTGGTGTCCGCTCTGACACTGCTTGCGCGTTAATTGTTTTCAAAGGCATTTCTCAGGTGCTAGCCCCTGGCTGGGCAGCGTGTCCACTGGTGAATGGAATGGACACAGGCCGGCCCAGCGGAGCTTCTGGCCTGGTGGGAGCGCCGTAATGAGGGTTGTCACAGGTGCTGTGAGGAAAGTGCGGGGCTCATGAGGACCCGAGAGGGGCCCGTCCAGTGGTTCAAGGCCAACCACGTGGAGAATGCCCCACGCAGAGGGGACCACAAAAATGACCAGGGCGACTGGATCACAGCAAACGAGCTGGGAGGTGGGGGGGGGGGGCGAAGGCAAATGGGTCTGGAGGCATCGATAGGGATTCTGGCTTTTTGTTGCAGAAGAAATGAGAGGCCATGAGTAGTCTTGAGCCAAGTGCTTACTCTGTCTGATGATCAAATTTTCATGTTAAAACTGTAACTTTGACAGCGATTTGGAGAGTAGCCTGGTGACAGTGGAGCTGGAGTGGCCATTGCAGTTGTCCAGGCAAAAGCTGGTGGTGCCGTGGACCAGGGTGCAGGCCGAGGGAGACCTGGGGGGGAACTGAGCTTCCCCGCCAACCCCACCTGCCTCCCTTCACCTCAGTTTTAAGGTTGCATTGGCTGTCCAGCCCTGATGTTGCCCATTGCAGGGGATGTTCTGATGTGGCTCTTAAAGCTCAGATTCTGGTACCTGCACAGGGTGGGGAGGGGTAGCTAAGGTCTCACACCAGAGCCAGGAGGCCCCCAGGTGAGAAGAAGGGCCACTTCAAATCATTAGGGAATCGGAGTCAAATTCAGACTCTGCCCTCTGCCTCCTTCCTAAAGCCAGAAGCCTGAGAGCTGCCCTAAGAATGGTCAGGTTCGGTTTATCCCAGACGCAGGCACCTGCTTGGTGGGTACTCAGGAAATAGGTGGTGAAAAATGTGCAAGCCTTTTCGACCTCACCTGAGTTACCACTGAGCTCTTGAAGTGTGGAGTAATGTGGGCTGGCTGCATGAATGAATGAATGAATGAACGAACGATGCAGGCCTTGCAGATCCTCATAGAGGCCCTAAGTTTGAGTGGTTCCTCTATGCCTTGCCCTGAGCCAATGGAAGGGTGTTTCTTTGGAGTCCATGGATTTTTTTTCTTGGCTCTGTCCGACTCAGGATGATCTTTGAACTAGTCTCTGTCCCCGAGGCCACACTCAGACTGACAGACAGCTGTACCAGGGCCTGGACTTTCTAGGTTTAGAGAGAGCCCTTGGGGCGTGTGATCCTGAGGTCACAGTGGACCTCTGCCCTGGGGAAGGTGGAGTGAGGCCTGCAGGATTTCTGTTTCTGACCCTGCCTGGGGGGGACAGGGAAAGGAGAGCTGGTAGTGCGACATTTTCAGCTTCTGCCCTGGGTGGAAGGGGTGCTGTTTATTCCAGCCGTATTTGGTGAGCACCTGGGCCAGCCCCTGATCCTTGGGGTGTCTGGGAACCGATTTGCCTTTGAAAGCCTGGCATGGCGGAGTAAGCATCCCGGAAGATCTTTACAGTTTATTTAGAGCAGTGGTTCTCAACCTTCCTAATGCCTCGACCCTTTAATACAGTTCCTCGTGTTGTGGTGACCCCCAACCATAACATTATTTTCGTTGCTACTTCATAACTGTAATTTTGCTACTGTTATGAATTGTAATGTAAATATCTGATATGCAGGATGTATTTTCGTTGTTATAAATTGAACATAATTAAAGCATAGTGATTAATCACAAAAACAATATGTAATTATATATGTTTTCCGTTGGTCTTAGGCGACCCCTGTGAAAGGGTCGTTTGACCCCCAAAGGGGTCGCGACCCACAGGTTGAGAACTGCTGCTTTAGAAGCTCCTAAGAGCAGGAGGGGTGAGGAAGGGCAAGCAGTTTTAGTTCTCACGGGGACCTAGTGTTACAGAATAGTAAAAGCTAGGAAAATTCCAGAAGTGGGATGGGGAAGCTGAGACAGAGAGTTAAACAGCAGTTTGTGCTCGCCTAGTAAATCCTATCTTCCCTAAACCAAGGACACTTAAGAGTAAATGGTGTGCACTTCTCCCCAGCCAGGGGGTAAATAGCTTAAACCACCCTACTCAGGGAGACATAACAGAAATCCATTTAAGTGCCATTTGCCAATCACACCCAAATTAAGAGAATAAATCTCATTTGGGGACATCAGCATCAGCTGATGAATATTCTCTTGATCCACCCCTAAACACCCAGCCTTTAAAACCCCCCAAAATGAAGGTCTCAGTGCTCTCTCCCTCGAGGGAGCATGCCTATGCCACTACACACCCTCCCCCCCCCCCCCCCCATACACACTTATCCCCTAACCTCTAAGGGACCCCATAAGACTTGCAACCAAGGCAGCGGCGGCAGCTCGCCCTGGGCTAACCCCTGAACCTGTTTCCAGGGCCCCCTTCTCCCCCTTTTCTCTGACCTCCCAGTGAGCCAAAGCAGCCCAGCCCGGGCTCTCCTGTTGCTTCTTCTATGCCCTTCCTCGTTTCACTGCCCTTACGTGTGTTTTTGCTGCGGTGGGTAAGTTCTTGCTTGCTTTGCTGCACGTTGTCTCTTGATTGTCTTGGCTCAAGAAGACAAGAGGCGAGATTCCTTGTCTTGCACAGTAACACTGGGATGGGACCTAGGATGGCCCCCGCTTTCAGATGCGGGATGTGTGCTGAGGTCTCCGAGCAGCTGTGGGCTTTGGTCTGGGATACGTCTGCGCAGAACCTGTGCTATTCCCACCCACCAGGACCAGGGGGTCGGAGAGGGGTTGGGTGGCCCCTGGCTCCAGCCCAGCACTCATTCTCTGCTGACCCGGGGCCCTTTCTTGGCTTAAAGAGAACCTGGCCGCATCTGATTTACTGATTGGTGGTGGTGTCCTGCTCCTGAGGTCGGCGTAGACTCCGCCCTCCCCTTGCTGGTGTTTGCTGGCCTCCCTGCTCTTCCCCCACTACAGTAGGTGGAAGGAACAGTGTGGGTTTTAATTTATTGAGCACCTCTATAGCTTAGTATTATCTCCTCAGATCTCTGTAGTAACCCCACAAGATGGGTGTCACCCTAGTTCAGTGGTCGGCAAACTCATTAGTCAACAGAGCCAAATATCAACAGTACAATGACTGAAATTTCTTTTGAGAGCCAGATTTTTTAAACTTAAACTATATAGGTAGGTACATTGTTATTAACTTAATTAGGGTACTCCTAAGGCTTAGGAAGAGCCACACTCAGGGGGCCAAAGAGCCGCATGTGGCTCGCGAACCGCAGTTTGCCGACCACGGCCCTAGTCAGTGACTTGCCCAAAGTCACACAGCTACAGGAAGGGGAGGGTGGGGCCTGAGGAATGTGTCTGGGCCTGGTGGGTGTAGCCTGGGGGTGACCAAGAGGGAGAGAGGGAGAAGGTCCCAGGGCTGCCTTGCCCTTGGGGATCTTGGGCCACTCAGCCCTGCCCCTCAACCACACAGACCCCCTTCTGCTCTCCCCTGGGCCTGGACCACTTTTCCCAGCTCTCAAACCTCCGCCAGGTCTCCGCTGAGCTCACCTCCTCAGGGGGGCCGTCCCTGACCACCCTGGCTCCACCCTTCCCCTTACTTACTCATTTTCAGGGCCTTTCTGTCATCAGAGTGTTTACTTCTTGCCTCTGTCCCCCACTCGGCAAGAGTCGGCTGCGTGCAGCCAGCGCCTTGCTGTCTTGGTCACCGCTGTGCCTCCGGAACAGCGTCAGAGATGCAGCAGGGGTTCAGTGACCTGGTAGGGGGAATGCGGGACCTGCCCTCGAAGCCCCCTTTCTGTGTCCTTCCTCCAGCCCCGCCCTCAGCGTCCACCCACACCTCTTCCCAGTGAGAAAGGAAGAAGCCCGTAACCCTCATAGCCAGGCTTCCCGTTCTCCTGTTGGGCATTCGCCACCTTCCAGAACACTGGCCTCAGACGAGGTCACTCTGAGGCACAAGCCTGTGTCAGTTTCGTCTGAGCATAGATGAAAGCAGGGTCACCGTGCCACCCCCAGAGTACCAGGCACACCCCCTCTTGCCAAACGAGGGGCTGCTTCCCCCAGGTGTGCACTCTCCCTCCTGCATCGAACAGTAACCCCACTTGTCCACCTGCAGGTACGTTCCCACTGGTCTCTGGCTGGGACGTTGACACCAGAGGGAGAAGATACCTGGGTTTTCTGGATTCGAATCCAGGTCTCCTGATCTTGATCTTGAACTAGCCATTTTCCTTTGAGGACCTAAGTTACCTTATTTCTGTAATGAGGCCACTGGTGAGAGCCATCCGATGGGCCGATCCATGGCGGATGGGAGGCAGTATCCAGTCTAAGGAGCCCTGCGTGGGTTAGGTGCCTCTGTCATTAATGTCCCCATTTACAGACGCGGAAACGGACGCCTGGAGGAGAAGTCCCACGGCTGAGGCTCCAGCTCTGGAATGACTGACTCTAAAGTGTTACCCACATGTCCTCCCACCTCTTGACCCCCCCACACCTTTGGGGTGGTGTTCATAGTGGTCACTGATCAATGAGGTCACAGGTTCCATACTGAATGGGGGCTCCAGAACAAGGAGTTCTTGAAACTCAGTGCCCAGGAACCAGACCCTGAACCCCCAAACCTGCCCTCCCTCTCTCTGTGAGCTGAGCTCAGGGCACTCTTCCAAGTTCCCACCCACGGCTTGGGCTTTCCTGCTCTCACTCCGTTCACTCTGTGTGCTGGGACTCAGCTCTGGGATGTCCGGCCTCTTCAGCTTAGAGGAGCGACTGGGTCTGTTCTGGGGCCAAGTTTGCCGCGTGGGGACACGCTCTCCACGTACACTTAGAAATGCTTTTGCACCTCTAAACTTAAACTCCAAACACATGGGTTTGTATGATTACTCTCACTTCCTGGTGTAGAAACAGGCTCAGAGGAGGCAGCTCACGTGCCCAGGGACACACAGCAGAACTGGGACTTGAACTTGGATTTTGTACCCCAAGGCTGTCTCGCCCCCCAGTTCTATAGTTGCTCTGGATTTCAGGATTCCGGGCCAGCCCAGGCTCCCCTGTTGGAGTCTGGGTCTGTGGTCTCTGCTGACCTGCCACCTCTCTCCCTGCCCTTGCATCCAGGCTTCGGTGGAAACACGCCTCCTCCCTGAAGGTGGCCAACGAGCCCGTCTTGGCGTTCACCAAAGGCAGCCCCGAGCGAGATGCACTGCAGAAGGTAAGGTGCAGGGCGTGGAGAGAGACGGCCTCAGCAGCCCAAGGTGCTTCTCTGTGCTGCGGCCATCACCCCTCCCCCTGCCCCTGCTCCCAGCCGCGGGGTCTGGGGAGGGCTGTGTGTCTGAAGCCTGGGAGAGGCTGGGAGCAGCCGGGGCCATTTGGTCCTCAGTGCCGGTCAGGAGTCATATGCTCACAGAACTTCAAAATGCTCTCCCATTAATTGCTAGTATTTTAAAACTGAGATTCCACGTAAATTCGAGGTGCAGTTTTTGAATCTTTTTAACGGGAAAACCTGTCAATACTGGCCTCTCCTTCCTGCATGACAGGAAGTGACCAAGGAGGGGCTGCATTCCGTCCCCCCAGGGAGCACACGCTCTCTGGCCACAGCCCCGCCGGCCGCCTCCTTGGTTCTGGTCCTCTGGGCATTGCATTAGCAGACTCCGCGTCAGGTCCTGGGTGGGAGAAGGGGAAGGAAGTGCCCATCTGACATCTTATCCTCTCCTCAGGCCTTGAAGGACCTGAAGGGCAAGACCGAAGCCATCCCGTGCGTGGTGGGGGATGAGGAGGTGTGGACCTCAAACGTGCAGTACCAGGTGTCGGTGAGTCCAGTGGGTGGGCAGCCCTTGGAGAGGGGCAGTCAGTTTACAGGGCACCTCCCTCCTGGGCAGTGACCTCACTCCTCTCTTCTTTCAGCCCTTTAACCATGGACACAAGGTGGCCAAGTTTTGCTATGCAGACAAGGTGAGTCCCTGGCAACTTTGGGGTTGGGGTGCTGCCCCTCTTTTGTCCTGCTGGCTTCAGACTTGGAGGTGGACATCAGGCACTGCTTCCCCTGGCCGTGGGGGATGGGGGTGTAGATGGGACAGCTGGAAGTGGGAGTCCCTGGGCGGGTGCCTCTAACAGGGCCAGGCCAGCCAGGGTTAACTGGAACCTAGTGGGAGCTGCCTTGATCAGGGCTGGACACCCCTGGACATGCTGTTGCCATGGGGCAGACCCTGACGTGGGGCAAGTGGGGGTGGTGGATTCTGGAAGGCTGGGTCAGGGAAATTGGAGACATCATGGATGGTAAGTCAGACGGCATTGGTATCATCATGGAGGGCCATCGAGAGGGGATGGGGTCACCTGTGGCTGGGGGTCTAGGAGCGAGCATCCTGTGGCAGTGAGGGCAGGTGGCATTGGGGATGCCGGCAGCAGGTGTACGTCTCAGGCTGTGGCTCTGGCCTGGCCAGGCAAGACCAAGGGCCCTGACCTTGAGGGCTGGTGGCTCTGGATGATGGGTTCAGGGGCCCCAGGCCCCAGGCCCCAGGATTAAGGTGAGGCCCTGAGGAGGCCACAGGAGAACGTGGTTTAACAGCTGAGGGACTCAGTGCCAGGTGCCTGGCATGCGGACCCAGCTGGCAGCTCAGACTTCTCCAGACTGGCAGCAGGACAGGTTCCGCGCCTGGGGTGGCCTGTGGCAGTGGGACACAGTAGACACTGGGGAGGGGACGCTGAGGGCCCAGGGAGCAGGGTCTTCCCCGGTGGAGCGTGACCTCCAGACCTCTCCTCCCTCGCTCATTCCCCTGGGACCCTTCCCGCTACAAAAGAAGCCCCTGGCCTGTCCTCTTCCGCAGGCCCTGCTCAACAAAGCCATTGAGGCCGCCTTGGCCGCCAGGAAGGAGTGGGACCTGAAGCCCGTCACAGACCGGGCCCAGATCTTCCTGAAGGCAGCAGACATGCTGAGCGGGCCGCGCAGGGCAGAGGTCCTTGCCAAGACCATGGTGGGACAGGTGAGGTGCCTGCGGCACAAGTGGGGGGTATGGGTGGGAGGCAGTTGTACCCTATTTGATTTGGCAGTCATCAGCCGAGCAGTTTCTGGATGCCTAGACTTGCTCTGCTGGTTGGAGACTCAGAGATGTCCTCAAGGGACAAGATCTAGGAGAGGGGACACACAGAATGTTAGACAAGGTGGACTGTGCTAAACCTGCGTGTCCGACCACGGAAATGCCCCTTCCCCGCCTTCTCTGTCCCCACCCTAGCAGGCCTTTGTCGTGCTTTGGCTGGTGTGACAGTCGCCCTATGCAGTCCTCTAGGCTCGGTGGGACCCTGCACCCTCAGGTTTTCCCGACACCCCAGCGGGCTGCTCAGGCTTACAAACCACCGAGGTCTACCAGCGAGAGGCACATCCCAGATCCTGAGCCCAGCCCCCAGGGCCCTGTAGTTCCCACCTCTCTGCAGCTCACCAGCTGCTGCCCTTCCCGCCAGGCCATCCCTGTGATGATGCCAGTCTGGACCTGGTGACATTCCTGGACACCATAGGCGTCCCATATCCCTGCCTCTGCCTGGTGTCTCCTGCCTGAGTGCTTGCTCTCTTCTGTGCCCCGTTCACTCTTACCCATCAAGGGCCAGCCCAGATATCACCTCCACTGTGAGGCTTCCAGAACCTTCTCTGCCCAAAAGGATCAGCCTCAGTTCACATTGGGGTGGAATGACTTCCTATGTGTCTGTTGCCCCTTTACAAGCTTTTTGGGAACAGTAATCAAGTGTTAATGTTCTCCCACTTTTTGGGCCTTGCATCATGTCTTCCTGGATAAAGGTTTTCTGAGTGAGTGCATTTGAGCCAGAGAGTGGCTGAGGAGGGAGAAAGTGTTAATTTACCCACCATCCCCAGGAAGGAGCCTTTAGGGGTTGGTCAGCCCAGCGCTCCTCCTGCAGTGAGAGCTCCCCCTGCTGCACAGACGCGGCATGACAGCTCCACACCCTGCCAGGTGTCTGATTGTCTCAGGGTGTCACGCTCCTAGTGTCCCAGGTGAGCCACACCTGGGCAGGAGGAGACACACAGATTAAAGTGCTCTTGGTGTGAAGACTCAGGAAGTTGTAAGAAGTGCAGTGGCCGAGCAGAGCAGGGGGCAGTGTCTTAGCTCAGCTCCCTTGGCGCCATGTCCGAGCAGGGCGAGCAGCTGCCAGTGACCCTGTGTGCCAAGGTGGGAAAGGCCCATTTTTGCTGCCCACAGTCCTTTCCCCACGGCTCACATTCACCATCAGGAAGGACAGACAGTCTGAGGACATGTTTTCAGTCACAGGCCTCCTGGTTCTAGGCCCAGCTCGCCTAGCGAGGGCACGTACTTACCCTGGGGCAGGAGTCACCGTGGGCACAGGGTCCCACGTCAGGGCCAACGGAGGCAGGTCTGCCACTGCTGACCCCCTGGCCTTCCCGCCTCGCAGGGTAAGACAGTGATCCAAGCGGAGATCGACGCGGCAGCCGAGCTGATCGACTTCTTCCGATTCAACGCCAAGTTTGCCGTGGAGCTGGAGGGGGAGCAGCCCATCAGCGTGCCGCCCAGCACCAACAGCGTGGTGTACCGGGGGCTGGAGGTACCACCGGTGCAGGGTGCGCGGGGGCTCCTGGAAACCTTGAGCTTGGCCTCACCACCTCCTCTGTCTCCAGGGCTTTGTGGCAGCCATCTCCCCTTTTAACTTCACTGCGATTGGCGGCAACCTGGCGGGGGCGCCCGCCTTGATGGTAAGATATGGGCCGCAGGCAGGGGTGGCGGGAGCTCAGCATCATTCCCGTCTCAACAGAGGGAAGGCCGCACTCGAGCCCCTGAGGTCCCAGCCCCAGTCATGGCGAAGCACAGAGGGTGGAGTGAGTGTGGGGCCGTGGAAAGGCTTTGGGGTCAGAGGCTGGTTTGGGTCCCGCCTCGCCCTGCTCTAGGTGACCCCCGTTGAGCCTCCACTCTGCTCGGAGGCAGTTTCCTCGTCTGCAAAGTGGAAGTAATAGGAAAACCTGTGTACAGGGTTGTGAGGAGCAAATGAGACGGCCACGTGACACGCTGAACGCCAGGCAGGTCTGGCCCCGTGCAGGCTAGTCTAAGGTGACAGTTAGTGACAGTGATGATTATAGCTCACCTTTGAGTGCTTGCTATGTGCTGGTGACTTAGTTGTCATGGTCGTATGGCTAGTTGTGTGTTTTTTATCCTCACCCAAGGAAATTTTTTCCATTTGTTTTTTATAGAAAGTAGAAGGGAAGGTGGGGGGGGGGGGGGAGAAAGAGAGAAACATTGATCTGAGTGAGATACATCAATTGTTTGCTTCCCGCATGCGCCCTGACCAGGGCCAGGGATTGAACCTGCAACCCTTTAGTCCACCGGCCAACACTCTAACCACTGAGCCAAACTCCACGTAGTTTTTTTAAAAAGTGTTTTTATGGATTTTTAGAGAGAGGAAGGGAGAGGGATAGAGAGATAGAAACATCAATGTGAGAAACCTTATCGATCGGCTGCCTCCTGCATGCCCCCCTCTGGGGATTGAGCCTGCAACCCAGGCATGTGCCCTGACTGGGAATCGAGCCGGTGACCTCTTGGTTCCTGGGTCAGTGCTCAACCACTGAGCCAAACCGGTCAGGGCTCCACTTGGTTTTAAAGGGTGAAGGTGACCATCATCCTCATGAGCTTCCAGTCCGATGGGGCAGACGTAGCCCTGCCTTCGGTGGGCCTGGGTGTCTGGGAGTCGCAGGAAGCGGGCTGACAGTGGTCGGGGGCCTGGGCCCAGGCAGGAAGGCTGGGTGAGCTGGAGGACGCTCATGCACAAGGCCGTCCCCGTGCCTCTGCCCACAGACAGACGCGCACACGCCCAGACGCCCACGTGCCCTCCCCAGGACACGTGCAGAGAGAGCCTTGTGCGCACTTGCTCAGCCACACCTGTGAGCACCCAGCAACTTGGAAACACCCAAAACAGAGCTGCCTGAGGGTGCAGGCAGGGCCAGTCCGTGCAGGCTTCTGGAGGAAGGGCGCCTCGGCTGGTGTGGTGGTGTTGGCGAGGGCTGTTAGAGCACAGTGCCTGGCACCTGGAGGTGTGGTCGGGTAGGGGACATCCAGGCCTGCACAGGGGCCTGCTGCACAGGGAGGGATGACCATGCTTCAGGGGGTGGGGTCAGGGCTGGGCCCCTGGCCTTCTGCCTTCTGTCATCATGTGCCTTCCGAGCAGGGCAATGTGGTCCTTTGGAAGCCCAGCGACACGGCCATGCTGGCCAGCTACGCCGTCTACCGCATCCTCCGCGAGGCTGGCCTGCCCCCCAACATCATCCAGTTTGTGCCAGCTGATGGGCCCACATTTGGGGACACGATTACCAGCTCAGAGCACCTGTGCGGCATCAACTTCACAGGCAGCGTGCCGTAAGTGGGGGGTGGGGAGTTGGGGGAGGCAGGGTGCTTCAGGGAGGTTCGCCTTGCACCTCTGTCCCGAGCTGGGCTGTGAGGAGCGAATGAGATGGCACGTGACACCGTCTGCCGCCGACCGGACTCACTTGCTGTGCTGCTGTTGGGGGGCCACTTCCCCTCTCGGACCCTCCGTATCTTCACTGTCCTAGTGCTGGCTCTGCTGCTCCACACACACGTCGCTCTACGTGGGACAGGACGACAGGGCCTGAACCCGGGTGGAGACCTGGGAATGAGCAGCAGGCACATTCGATCGCCTGTCTGTGGGTCGGGGTGGGAGTCAGCGGGAATGTCCGGGCTCGGGCAGGAGGCCTCGTTCACAAGGTGACACCCGAAGGCCCAGCTGCGGGAGGGTTGGGGCAAAGATGACTCACGTGTTGGCTGCTTTGAGTTTGGGGAGCCCACGGACCACCGGGTGGAGATGTCAGGGTCAGCACGGGGGTCCTCCCGGGTGTCACCGGGACCCCGGCGGCGGCTTCTCTCTGCTGGCCTCCGGCTCCCCCACCCGCCTCCCTCCGGGGTGTGCCGGGTGGCGTGGCGTTAGAATTGCTGAGGAGGGCCGTTTCCAAAGGCCTGCTCTGCCAGCACAGCCCCGCGGGGCCCTGCCTGTTAGCGGGCAGAGCAGGCTTGGCCCCCATTTGCCATGCTCTGATGAGCAGAGGCTCAAAGGTGGGAAAGCCATAAATTAGTATTAGCTACTGTGTCGCCGGCTCCCTGGTGATTAGCATTTTTATTGTTTTGTGGTGCTGAGGTTGGTCACACTCGGAGCCCAGGGAGGAGGCGGGGGCCTACGCTTCCTCTCCCAGGATCCTCCTCAGTTTGGCCTCTGGAGCCCCATGCAGATAGTGACAGTGTCTGTCCCCCACCGGCACCTAGTGTGCCCGGCACTGTCCTAACACTGGACTCATTGCAGTGAACCACAGAACAGCCCTGTCGTGGGATTGTTCCCTCCAGTTCCCAGATGAGGTGCAGGATTTGAGGCTCAGAGAGGTTAAGTAATGAGCAAAAGGTCACACAGCCATGGGTGTCTGAGTCAGAGCTTGAACCCAGTACTTCCTCCCCGCTCCCTGGTCTTCTCTGCACCATCTTGCCACCAAGGCTCCCCTTGCTGACTCCCCATAGGCCTGGGATGCTGCCCATTTCCAGCTGCCACCACCTACTGAGTCCCCCACCACCTCTGCTGGGACCCCTGCTCGCCTCCTGGGCTGTTGACCCTGGCGTTTCTCACTTGGCTTTTCGGCCGCTTCTGGTGGGACCTGTGCCCTACCCCCCCCCCCCCCCCACGACCTTCACCCTCAGATACCCAGGCTGGCTCCCTAATCCCCACCCTGTCCTCTGATTTCAGCACCTTTAAAAACCTGTGGAAGCAGGTAGCCCAGAACCTGGATCGCTATCGCACCTTCCCACGCCTGGCCGGAGGTAAGGGTCCCTCTCCCTGCCCCCTCCCCGGTGGCTCCAGGGACCCCTCCCTTTCCTGGCCATCATGAAAGAGGAGAGGATGCAGCCATAGGTAGGGTCGTGCTGCAGGAACTGAGCCCTGGGGGGCCTTAGGTACAGAACCTCGCTTTGGCAGGCACTGGGGGTGTGCAGAGCACCTGTGCCTCAGGATGCATTTTTCTTTCTGTCATTCATTCATTCATGCCTCATTCATGCAGCAATTTAAGTACCATGAGTAGGGAAGGAGCCCTGGCATTGACATGGGTGGACCCCCTCTTCTCTTGCTGGGTTGGGGGGTTAGGGGAAAGCTGTGCCACTTCTGGGAGGGGACTGGGGGCCTAGGATTCTGCCATTTCCTCTGTCATTGTATTGGGCAGCACCCTGGCCCTGGCCTCAGTTATTTCATCTGTATAATGGGGGAGTTGTTCCTGATGACCCCTGATGCCCTTCACCCTTGGGCATCAGATTTTTCATCTGTAGAGTGGGAGAATAGGCCTGGCTCATTGGTTTCTGGGATGCTGTCCAGCTCTCACTCTGTGCCTCTCCTGCTCTCATCCGCCTGGTATGGGGGAGCTGATTACAGGGCCCCGTGGATAGGTGTAGGCAGTGTGGTGGGCCCCTGAGCTGGCCGGAGGAGCCTGCTCCTTCATTCATTCCCCACCCTGGCCCCTGTAGAGTGCGGTGGGAAGAACTTCCACTTTGTGCACCGCTCAGCGGACGTGGACAGCGTGGTGAGCGGGACCCTGCGCTCAGCCTTCGAGTACAGTGGCCAGAAGTGCTCAGCCTGCTCCCGCCTCTACGTGCCTCACTCGCTGTGGCCTCAGATCAAAAAGCGGCTGCTGGAGGAGCACAGCAGGATCAAAGTGGGCGACGTGAGTGCTGCCTCCATCCCTGCCTCCATCCCTGCCTCAGCCCAGCGGGCGGCTGATGGGACTGGAGGTTCCCGTGGGTGGGGCTGGTGTGCGGGAGGGGCCTTCCTTTGTCGGGGCCCTGGCAGCTCAGTCTCTTCTGGTGTCTCCCCTGCCTGCAGCCTGCAGAAGACTTCGGGACCTTCTTCTCTGCAGTGATTGATGCCAAGGTACGGGCTGGAATCCAGTTGTTTCTGGGGGGCTGAGGCTGGACTGGGTGGGAGAGGGAGGAAGAGATATCGGGGCCTCAAAGGGGGACAGCCCCACCCCGCTGCTTCCAGGAAGGCAGCCACATTGCCACCCTGCCTCCAACTTGTTAAAGGGCAGAATCCTCCAACCAGAGAACTCGCCTCCTGCACACCCTGCAGCCAAGCTCAGCAAGCCCCTTTAAGTGCATATTCATACACAGAGATGCAATTAGGCCGCCTGCATACCTGTGTGCATAAACCTAATTGTGCACGCATGAACACGTTCATGTGTAGGCATGCGTGTCAGCTTTCCACAGAAATGCATACACATTCATACATACATATCTCCATACAAGAACAAATCCACCCGTGTGTGCATGTAAAGATATTCATGTACATGTTTGTATTTAGAGGCACATGTGTAGGTCTACATAGATAAACATGTGCATGTTACAGGCATACAGATGGGGTGGGCAAAAGTAGGTTTATAGTTGTAATATAAGTAATACAATAATAAATCGATAATACAAGAATAAACTGTGATTCACGTACTCACAATTGTAAACCTACTATTGCCCATTGTGTATATCTACATGCTTTAACAAAGCAACATGGCCATGCATGTGCCCGAATACATATATGTCATGTGTGTTTGGTTATATTTATATGTGAATATATACCTGTAGTTCTAATACATACACACACACAAGCATGCGTGTCTGCCCTTGTCCCTGCCATGGCTTGTCCAGACACTCCGGGCCCTCCCCTCCTCCATTTCAGAATTCAGGTCCTTCTGGAACAGGTGTATTGGGGTGAGTGTACCGCAGGGCTGCTGCTGGGAATGGTCCCCTAGCCGGTCTGTGACACCCTTCCTCCCTGCCCCTGCAGTCCTTTGGTCGCATCAAGAAGTGGCTGGATCACGCCCGCTCCTCGCCCAGCCTCACTGTCCTGGCGGGCGGCAAGTGTGACGACTCTGTGGGCTACTTCGTGGAGCCCTGCATTGTGGAGAGCAAGGACCCTCAGGAGTCCATCATGAAGGAGGTGACTGGGCGGGTGGCTGGGAGCACGGGAGGACAGCCTCCCACTCAGCACAGGACGCACACAGGGCCCTGGCCCATGGTCGTCTTCTCGGGGTGTATTCCAATTCCGGTTGAGGAAAGGGAGGCCCTAGACAGCGAATATCACACCCAGTGAGAGCAGAGCCAGGCCTTGAGCTCAGGCCTCCTGACCCCAAACCCAGTGCTGGCCCTGCCACCCTGGCCATTGTCGTAGCACTTCCATTGCTCATGCCCTTACAACAGTCTTCTCAGCTGACATTGACCTGCTCACCTGTGGCCGCCCACAGCTGGCCCTTGATTGAAGTGAGGGCTGTATTATCAGTCCCATTTTACAGATGAGAAACTGAGGCCCCAGGAGATCAAGACACCTTGGTGGCAGCAGGGACAGTATATTGTTGGGCAGTTCCTGGACCAGCTGTTGCCAGAAGCCTACGGTTTCCATGGGCTTGGGCTCGTGCCTCTACGGGTGTGGGTTTGGCTGGCAGGGGCCCAGAAAGTGTCCTTGGACCTTTTGCCACCGTGGGATGGGGCGGGCAGGGCAGGAGCTGGGCACGGTTCTGTCCCGGAGGGAATCTGGAGGGACACTGCGTACGCCAGGCCCTACTTGAAGGGGCTGAGGTGTGGACTGGGGCCTGGGGACCGGGACTGAGAATAGAGGCAGAGGCCAGAGCAGGCTGGGAAGCCTCAGGGCACTGGTCCAGGCTGATGCTGACCTTGGACTTCTCACTTCTCTCCCAGGAGATCTTCGGGCCTGTGCTGACCGTGTACGTCTACCCAGACGACAAGTACAGGGAGACACTGCGGCTGGTGGACAGCACTACCAGCTACGGCCTCACGGGGGCAGTGTTCGCCCAGGATAAGTGAGTGGCCACAGCCCCTCTGCTCTAGGCCTGGTGTCCCGTCCACACCCTGGACACTGCCCTCCTGGACATGGTCTTAGTAATAATGCCGCCCTTGCTTTCTGTCCACTTCCCTCACCTCAGCCCTGGCTGGCAGGCAGGCCTCCCAAGCGCAGATACCCAGAGGCAGCCCAGCTTTGTTAAAGTGCAAGTTCTGGGGCCCACTATCGAATCTGGATCTAGGGTAGGCCTGGGAGTGGGAGCTTCTGCCCAGCTCCCGAGTCTGAGGGGCCCTGCTCCTCGAGATCATCGTCTCAGCTGCAGAGTGGGACACGGGCTCAGGCCAGGGTGCACTGCTCACCTTGCAGAGGCAGGATTTGAACCTTTGCTTTTCCCTCCTCCGTGGCTCCCCTTGTCTGCCTCTAAGAGAGGGGATGGAGGTGGGAGTGGAACCTGAGGGGCAGGCTGGGGGCTTAGGGGTCCCCCAGTTCCCGAGGGACAGGAAAATTGGACCAGGATGGGCCACTCCCTTGAGTGTGTGCTGCCTGACCCACACCCTCAGTCCTCGCAGGAGCCCCACGAGGGGACGTGAAACCCCCTTTGCAGAGGGGAAGCTGAGGCTCAGACCCTGAGTCACCTGCCCAAGGGCCCACAGCTGGTGGCTGACCCAGCACAGCCCCAGGATGGGCCTAGTGCTCACAGGATAGCCAGCCTGGGCTGGGGCTGGGGCTGGACCTGGGCTGGAGCCGTGGGTGAGCTGGCTGCCCTGCCTTGTAGGGACGTTGTCCGGGAGGCCACCGAGATGCTGAGGAACGCTGCTGGCAACTTCTACATCAACGACAAGTCCACTGGCTCAGTGGTGGGCCAGCAGCCCTTTGGGGGGGCCCGAGCCTCTGGTGAGTGGGTCTGTTTCCAGAGGGGAGCCAAGTTTCTATGGGAGACTCGAGAGCCTTCGTTCCAAGGGTGTTAAGAGTAATAAGAACAGCACTGTACTCACCCCGAGTCTTTTCAGCAACCTGGTGACCAGGGTGCTAAATTCTCCCCATTTTACAGAGGAGGAAACTGAGGCACGGGGTGGTGAAGTGACTCGCTCAAGGGCACATGGCTAGGAAGTGGTGGAGCTGGCATTGGACCCAGCTCCCGCAGCCTGTACCACCATGGCCCAGGCCATTTTGGTCCAACTCCCTCCTACTTATAGGTGGGGAGACTGAGGCTCAGATTGGGCTGGCGACTTTCTAAGATCCCAGCTGCCTAGTGGCAGAGCTGGTGCTCTCCACAGTGTCCCCTCTGCCTCCGAGACACCCCAGGCAGGTGGGGTACATGGACCCCAGGAGTGCCGGCATCCTGTCCACTCCCAGTCCCGGCCCCACCCGGCCTCCCGCTAAGGGGCTCCTCAGAGGTGCGCTTCGGAAACGCTCCTGTGCGCACATTTTGTTTTAGTTTAAATGCTGGTGCCCCATTCATTCCCTCAGATCCTCCCCTCGCCTTTCCCTCCTGCCCAGAGCTGTTGTGTCTTTTTCCCACAGGAACCAATGACAAGCCCGGGGGGCCCCACTACATCCTGCGGTGGACGTCGCCCCAGGTCATCAAGGAGACCCACAAACCTCTGGGGGACTGGCGCTACTCGTACATGCAGTGAGCCCCTTGGCACCTCCGCCGTTCACCTGTTTGTCCGTCCAGGTGACTGACCTCGGTGCACTGGGCCTACCCAGCCCCTCCACCCTGCTCCCTGGAGGGCAGCCCCTTTTCTAGAGCCAAGGGCTGGCCCTGAGCCCCCCACTGGCCCGTATCCTGGCCTGTCCCACATCTCGGGGTCAGGTGCCCAGCCCTGGTTTGATCCTGCTGGGAAGGGACAGGCGTGCTGCCCCTCATCCCATCGGCCGTCCTAGGAATTACCTCTCAGAGGGTGACCTTGGTGCCGGCTGGCTCGCCATCTTTTCTCCTCTTGCTTCTGCACTGTGGCCCAGTGGTGTCGCAGGGGTGGGGAACGTTTGGCCCGAGGGCCATGTAAGGCCCACAGAATCGTTTGGTCTGGCCCTGCCAAGGCATTAGGGGTGAGTTAATTAAATGTTTGACTGAATATAGCAGGCTGATTTTTAAGTTGATAATGTTGTCTGGCCCACGAATGATGTTATAAATATTCAAATGGCCCTTGGCAGAAAAAAGGTTCCCCACCCCTGGTTTAGGGACTTGGGGAATGACAGTGGGGCAGCTCCCAATCCCTTGAGGGAACGGAGGCAGCTCTGGGCCCCTTGGCAACCTCATTACCCACAGGGCTCCTGGCCTTGGCCCTGGCGTCTCCAGGGCTGCAGGAGTGGGTGTGACCAGGGCGGTCTGCAGGGTGCCAGCGCACTAGCTGACCTTGCCCTCTTTGGTCTGGGTCATCCTCCTTTCACACTAGCTCTTTGCCCAGCCACACGAGCCAGTGGGTACCTGTGCCTGACCTTAAGCCTTAGATGCCCATGTGCCTTTCTCCAGGGCTCCTGTCTGCCCATGTAATTCCTGACCGTCTCCATGTGGTGAGGCTGGGGGGCCATTGGAGGCCACCTGCCAAGATGTGGGACATGCTGGTCCTTCCTGTTGGGGCTGGGATTTTGGGAACTGGATGGGCCCAGCCTCCAGGACAGCCACCCTCAGCTGCGTTGGCCTGGTTTCCCTGCGGGAGCTCAGTTCCCACTGGCTGTGGTAGCACAGGCCCAAGTAGATGTTGCTCCCACTCTCCCAGCCCCCTGAGACCTACCCTGGGTCCCCGTCCTGCCAGGACCTGGGATTGCCCGTAGAATCTTCTTCCTTTGCATGCGAGTGGCTTTGCGTGGACTGGCCTTGGGGGGCCTGTTCTTTGTTTGATGCAGCCAGTCGGTGGACTCTCTAGGACAGCGGTCAGCAAACTGCGGCTCACGAGCCACATGAGACTCTTTGGCCCCTTGAGTGTAGCCACGAAGTTTCAATTGCACTGTACGTGCGCGCCCGCACGTGGTATTTTGTGGAAGAGCCACACTCAAGGGGCCGCAGTTTGCCGACCACTGCTCTAGGACAACTAGGTTGGGTTCTGAGTGGCCAGGGATCTGTAAGGGGTGACTTTGGAGAGCAGTTTTTATGGAGCTGTAAAAGTGCTGGGCCCTTCTCAAGGACCGCTGTCAGGGGCTCCCCACAGGGTAGGGTGGCCATTGCCCAAGTGCCAGGACCTCGCACTGGGCCAGCGGTCAGGGGTGAGTGCTGATGCCGCCTGGCAGGGTGCGGGTTCTGCACCGTTTCCCACAAGGCGCCAGGTCAGGAGGCTGAGAGATGTTCCTGGTTCTGCTGGCTCTACACTGTGAGGTGCCATGGGACTCGCCCTGACGTCACCCAATAAAATACCTGTGACTTAACCAAATCGGTCTTTCTGGTGGGGGTGGGGGACAGCTTCTAAGTCTGATGGCATTTTCAGCGTGTCATTGGGTGTGAGGAGTGCAGTGCCCTCGGTGCTATGGAAGGAAGGGCAGGCACTGATGTATGGGAATACCTGCTGCGGTGGTGGGAGCTCTGGAGCCAGATGGGCTGGGTTCAAATCCCAGCTCCAAAAAGCTGTGCAACCTCTCTGGCCTTCTGTCTCTCCATCTGTAAGATGGGAAAAGTAATATATGTGATATGTATGCCCACACAGTTGTCATGAGAATTAAATGAGTTAATCAATGTGTTTAGAACAACGCCAGACACAGAATTCATGGTTCGTCAATGTTGCGCATTTACCCATTGTGTAACAGCCACTGCTATGTGCTGTGATAAGTTTACATGCCTGGATATTTTAGCTAAATGTTATTCTAGATGTTTCTGTGAAGGTGTTCTTGAATGAGATTAACATTTAAATCAGTGGACTTTGAGAAAGCAGATTACCCTCCATAATGTGGGTGGGCCTCATCCAATCAGTTGAAGGCCTTAACAGAAAAAGACCGACCTTCCCGAACAAGAAGGAATTCTGCCAGGAGACTGCCTGTGGACTCAGCCGCAGCTCCTCCCGGGCCTCCGGGCTGCCAGCCTACTGGCAGAATTTGGATTTCCTGACCCCACAGTCTTGTGAGCCATTTCCTTACAATAAACCTGTCTCTCTGTGCGCCTCCATTTGCTTCTGTTTATCTGGAGAACCCTGAGAATAACGTGCCAGGGACTTGGTTTCTCCCGAGTGCCTGAGGGAGCAGGTGCTGCCATGCCCCCGTTCTGCAGTGAGGACAGTGCAGAAAGGTAAGGGGCCCTGCCAAGCGTGTGTCATCACTGGTACAGAAGCACAGGGCTGTCCAGTTCCGGAACCCGCTCTTTCCTCCACGCAGATGTTCATACACGGCGCTGACTGCCTTGCAAAGACCCGCTCAGCTGCCAAATGACAGGGGAGCAACTGTGGCCACTTAGCTTGAGCCCAGTTTCTGGGTCTGAGCCCACCTGGGCCAGCTGACTTAGAGGGGGTCACGTGTGTCTTGGCCTGTCCCCACCCACAGAGAATGTATAGGGGTGTCACCTATGCCAGCTCCTGGCCGACAGGCTGACTTGGAGCTCCTGGGGGTCCAGAGGAAGCATTGGGTACAGACCCACCCTCTTGAGAGAGTCATGCCATTTCCATTCATTCCCCCACCACACTGACACCCCTATCCCGGGTCCAGCAATCTGGGCTGTTGGCATGGAGGGTCTCAGAGCTCTGGGAGGGGGTTGAAGACTACCCTTGGCAGAGCCCCCACCCTGCTCAACCAGGGGCTACCACTGATTCGTGCAAGAGGGGGCTTGACCCGGACAAAGGGTAGTACCCAGTGCCCAGGCTGGAATTTATGGAAGTTAAGGATGGCAACTGCATTTTGTAGTCCTTACTAATGTTTTTGCATGTATGGAGTGACTTGCTCAAGGCCACACTGAGACAGCAGCAGAGCTGGCTGACCACTGGCTAAGAGCATTAGCTACCTAATCTCATGAAGCCTTGACAGTGGCCTTGCTAGGTAAGGCACGCCGAGGTGTGAGAGTTACTTCAATCATCTGTGCCTCAGTCTCCTCATCTGCAAAATGGGAGCCATAGAATGTACCTTTAGGGCTGCCGTATCTGAGGATGTGACGTCTAAAGCCTTGAGCACAGTGCCCTTGCCGGTTTGCTCAGTGGATAGAGCATTGGCCTATGGACTGAAGGGTCACAGATTCAATTCTAGTCAAGGGCATGTACCTTGGTTGTAGGCTCAACCCCTGGCCCTGGTTGGGGCACGTGTGAGAGGTAACCAATGGATGTGTCCCTCTCACATTGATGTTTCTCTCTCCCCCTCTCCCTTCCACTCTTTTAAAAAAAAAAATCAATGGAAAAATATCCTTGGGTAAGGATTAACAACAACAACTAAAAAGTGTGCTAATCTAGGTGCATGGAAACAATGGATAGGGCTTAAGGCAAAGATAAAGCCTTGAGCATGCACCAGTGGATCTATTTACTACACTGGCCTCCAGATGGACCACACAGGAACCGAGGATGGACGTGTGGTGGGGGAATGAATGGAAATGGCGTGACTCTGAAGAGGGTGGGTCTGCACCCTAATGCTTCCTCTGTACCCCCAGGAGCTCCGAGTAGCCTGTCGGCCAGGAGCTGGCACAGGTGACCTTCATTTCCTTAGAGTTCATGCCTGACTGGCCGCCCCTGGGACTGCGGTGGCACGGACATCTGGCCTCAGTCAAATGGTTCACGCTCCAAGCACGGACCTGCGCTGGGCCCCAGTCACAGGGAAATGAAGAGACTCCATGGGCCGGCACGGACACGGGGACTTACTGTGGTGACCATGCAAAGAGGCCTTGGGTACCTGCTCGGGTACTGGGCTCTCAGGAGCCACCAGCCCCCTGGTCTGGGAGGCGAGGGAGGGCAGAGGAAACGGAGCGAGCAGTGACTTGGAGCTACCGCCTGCCCCAGTTAAATGGAGGCGGAGGTGCCGGTGGGGAGGGCAGGGAATGACAGTGGTAGAGGAGCAGCTGGAAGTCAGGGACCTGGTGGAGCAGGTGGTAAGGAGCATGAGCTGTGAGGTCCATAGCCCTGGGTTCACCCCCGGCCCTCCTACTAACCAGCAGGATGACCTTGAGTAGTTGGTCAACCTCTGGCCTCCATTAGGCCTCCCACAGAAGGCATTAGGCTCCTGAGCCTTGGTTTCCTCATCTGTACAATGGGGGCAAAATCCTTCCCACACTGTGCTGAGCAGACGTAATGCTGTTTGAAAGCATCGCAGAGGCTCCATAAAGGTGGCTTCCCTTCCCTTTGGCTCTTATTGGGCTTGTGGTCATTTGGAACCTCCAGATCCTTTTCTGGTTGAGACATAGCCTGCTGGAAGTCACCCAGCCAAGAGTGGTGAGGAGGCATAAGTGGGTCTCTGGCCTCAACTGACCCTTATATCCCCGAGCTCCAGGGCCCACTCCACTGTTAACTTCTAACCTCTCACAGGCTGGGCCCCCTGAGAAGTGGCTCTGAGGCCTCCCTGGTGACCCTCCTCCGAAGTGTCTGAACCAAGTCAGCTGGTGGGGGGGGGGGGGGGTATCTCCCAGACCTTTGGGGAGACCCTCCGTGCCACACCCTAAGCCAGATTGGAGCTGGGTTCCCAGCTGCCCGGCTTTCCCTGGATGGGGGAGCACTGGTAGGAAAGAAACAGGTGAGTAGGAGGGGAAGGGCTGATGCAGCCCCCAGTCCCTGGGGTTGGGTTCCTCTTGGGGGCTCCTGTGCTCCATGGGAGGGGAGGAAGGAAACTGAGGGCAGCCTCCTCCAGCCCCACTTTTCCGTAAGCACCTCGGGGGAGCAGACACAAGGCAATGGGCAGCTTCTCCAGGGCGCCCCATTTCCACGGCTGCCCCCACCCCATGTACTTTGCATGAGCTTGTCCTGGCTCTCCCTCACCTTGGCAGCCAGTGGCCACACAGGTGTGTGCATAGGGACCTCAGGCCCTGAACTAGGCCATGAGGGGGACAGTTGTGTCGGGCCTGGGCCACCAGGGCATGTGCTGTGTGTGCAGCCCTGAAGGAGAGTCATGGTGACGCAGTGTCCCAGGCGCCTGCCCTCAGGGCGGTCAGTGACTCAGCCACATCCAGTTGCCTCTCAGATGATGTCAAGGCCAGAGGACCGTAGAGACTCTATCGCCCGGCCCAGGGCGTCTCAGCGCGGGGTCTGCGGACAAGCCCAAGCCTGGCGGCGCCCTGGATTCTCAGCTGCATTTGCCAGGTGTTGCATTCACGTCCAGGACTTTCATCAGAATCTCCCAAGGATCCCTGCCCCTGCATGTGAGTCCAGTTTACAGGAGGGGAATGGAGGCCAGAGAATGGAAGGGGCCTGCCCAAGGGCAGCCTGCGCACAGACTGCCACAGAGCTGGACCGGAAGCCGAGACGTCTGACCTCTGCCCATTGCTCCTTCGGATTTGGGTCCTCAGGGGGCTCCTCCGTCCACGCTGACAGCCACACTAAGAAGCTCTCCCTGTCCAGGGGAACCCGTGTTCCTTCCACGTTGGATCTACTTGGTTGCCACCACTCCCATCAGCCCCACTTTGAGCCTTGGATTCCTTCAATCCACTAACCTGCTCTGTGGCTTTGAATAAGTTACTGTCCCTCTCTGAATCTCAGTCTCCTCATCTGCTAAATGGGGAAACAGAGGAGGTAGTGAGAATCAAATGGGATGACGGAGCGTGGTGAGTGCTCAGCAGTGAGCCCTCGGAACACAGTTTCAATAGAAATGGCCAGTGCTCCTGGTCACCGTCACTCCCCCCAGGCTGTGGCACAGGCCCTGCCCCCCTCCCACCCCAACACACACACAGAACTCCTTATCTCCTCTCTGCTGGCGACACAGCCTGGGGCATCACGGAGCTGTCCTGACTCGCTTTACACTTGAATGGGGTTGAGGGGAAACCACCTTAGAGTCTGGCTGTGTGATTTGAATCTCAGCTCTGTGGTTTGTACAACCCAGGGGGAGTTTCTTAACCTCCCCGTGCCTCAGTTTCCTCATCTGTGAACTGGGGTTAGAAACACTTCCAGTTTTCGTGAGCATTAAGAGAGATGGAGACTGCCCGGGCCGGTGTGGCTCAATGGTTTAGCATCGACCTGTGAACCAGAAGGTCATGGTTCGATTGATACCCGGTCAGGGTACATGCCCTGGTTACAGGCTCAAGCCCCAGTGTGGGGCGTGCAGGAAGCAGCTGTTCAATGATTCTCATCGTTGATGTTTTTATCTCTCTCTCCCTCTCCCTTCCTCTCTGACATCAATTTAAAGAGAGAGGGAGGGAGGGAGAGAGAGATAAAAACATCAACGATGAGAATCATTGAACAGCTGCTTCCTGGGACCGCGGTGGCACGGACGTCCGGCCTCAGTCAAATGGTTCACGCTCCAAGCCCGGACCTGTGCTGGGCCCCAGTCACAGGGAAATGAAGAGACTCCATGGGCCGGCACGGACACGGGGACTTACTGTGGTGACCATGCAAAGAGGCCTTGGGCACCTGCTAGGGTACTGGGCTCTCAGGAGCCACCAGCCCCCTGGTCTGGGAGGCGAGGGAGTGCAGAGGAAACGGAGCGAGCAGTGGCTTGGAGCTACCGCCTGCCCCAGTTAAATGGAGGCGGAGGTGCCGGTGGGGAGGGCAGGGAATGACAGTGGTAGAGGAGCAGCTGGAAGTCAGGGACCTGGTGGAGCAGGTGGTAAGGAGCATGAGCTGTGAGGTCCATAGCCCTGGGTTCACCCCCGGCCCTCCTACTAACCAGCAGGATGACCTTGAGTAGTTGGTCGACCTCTGGCCTCCATTAGGCCTCCCACAGAAGGCATTAGGCTCCTGAGCCTTGGTTTCCTCATCTGTACAATGGGGGCAAAATCCTTCCCACACTGTGCTGAGCAGACGTAATGCTGTTTGAAAGCATCGCAGAGGCTCCATAAAGGTGGCTTCCCTTCCCTTTGGCTCTTATTGGGCTTGTGGTCATTTGGAACCTCCAGATCCTTTTCTGGTTGAGACATAGCCTGCTGGAAGTCACCCAGCCAAGAGTGGTGAGGAGGCATAAGTGGGTCTCTGGCCTCAACTGACCCTTATATCCCCGAGCTCCAGGGCCCACTCCACTGTTAACTTCTAACCTCTCACAGGCTGGG